GCGAATGTGAGAAACGGTTGACGTCTCGAGTCTCATCCTCTAAGCAGGCCCATGTCCGTCCAGGCACTTCCAAGCCATGCTGCAAGCACCTGAACTTCAGTCTTTACCGCACTCCCACCCCGAAGACACCAATAATAGACAGCCTTGCACCAATCCTCTTCCCGCCGGCCCCAACATCCTCAACCAAGCTAAAGCAAATCCACAACACAACGGACTCACGCCCAAGTGCAACTCATAATCACTTTGCAACCAACTTCAGCTGCAACCAACCAACACATCACCGACGACAGCCCCCAACCTCCCAACTACATCACAACCCACTGCAGCCCAGTGTAAGGTCAACACGAACCACACGGCACCCATCCTGCTAGTCAGACATCTAAGGAGGTCCGTCATGCAGGCACACAAGGGCCTTGCTCGGACACCAACTGCGAATGTGAGAAACGGTTGACGTCTCGAGTCTCATCCTCTAAGCAGGCCCATGTCCGTCCAGGCACTTCCAAGACATGCTGCAAGCACCTCAACTTCAGTCTTTACCGCACTCCCACCCCGAAGACGCCAACAATAGACAGCCTTGCACCAATCCTCTTCCCGCCGGCCCCAACATCCTCAACCAAGCTAAAAGCAAATCCACAACACAACGGACTCACGCCCAAGTGAAACTCATAATCACTTTGCAACCAACTTCAGCTGCAACCAACCCGCACATCAGCGACGACAGCGCAACCTCCCAACTACATCACAACCCACTGCAACCCAGTGTAAGGTCAACACGAACCACACGGCACCCATCCTGCTAGTCAGACATCTAAGGAGGTCCGTCATGCGGGCACACAAGGGCCTTGCTCGGACACCAACTGCGAATGTGAGAAACGGTTGACGTCTCGAGTCTCATCCTCTAAGCAGGCCCATGTCCGTCCAGGCACTTCCAAGCCATGCTGCAAGCACCTTAACTTCAGTCTTTACCGCACTCCCACCCCGAAGACGCCAAGAATAGACAGCCTTGCACCAATCCTCTTCCCGCCGGCCCCAACATCCTCAACCAAGCTAAAGCAAATCCACAACACAACGGACTCACGCTCAAGTGCAACTCACAATCACTTTGCAACCAACTTCAGCTGCAACCAACCCACACATCAGCGACGACAGCGCAACCTCCCAACTACATCACAACCCACTGCAACCCAGTGTAAGGTCAACTCGCACCACACGGCACCCATTCTGCTAGTCAGACATCTAAGGAGGTCCGTCATGCAGGCACACAGGGGCCTTGCTCGGACACCAACTGCGAATGTGAGAAACGGTTGACGTCTCGAGTCTCATCCTCTAAGCAGGCCCATGTCCGTCCAGGCACTTCCAAGCCATGCTGCAAGCACCTGAACTTCAGTCTTTACCGCACTCCCACCCCGAAGATGCCAACAATAGACAGCCTTGCACCAATCCTCTTCCCGCCGGCCCCAACATCCTCAACCAAGCTAAAGCAAATCCACAACACAACGGACGCACGCTCAAGTGCAACTCATAATCACTTTGCAACCAACTTCAGCTGCAACCAACCCACACATCACCGACAGCCCAACCTCCCAACTACATCACAACCCGCTGCAACCCAGTGTAAGGTCAACACGAACCACACGGCACCCATCCTGCTAGTCAGACATCTAAGGAGGTCCGTCATGCAGGCACACAAGGGCCTTGCTCGGACACCAACTGCGAATGTGAGAAACGGTTGACGTCTCGAGTCTCATCCTCTAAGCAGGCCCATGTCCGTCCAGGCACTTCCAAGACATGCTGCAAGCACCTGAACTTCAGTCTTTACCGCACTCCCACCCCGAAGATGCCAACAATAGACAACCTTGCACCAATCCTCTTCCCGCCGGCCCCAACATCCTCAACCAAGCTAAAGCAAATCCACAACGGACTCACGCTCAAGTGCAACTCAGAATCACTTTGCAACCAACTTCAGCTGCAACCAACCCACACATCAGCGACGACAGCCCCCAACCTCCCAACTACATCACAACCCACTGCAACCCAGTGTAAGGTCAACACGCACCTCACGGCACCCATCCTGCTAGTCAGACATCTAAGGAGGTCCGTCATGCAGGCACACAAGGGGCCTTGCTCGGACACCAACTGCGAATGTGAGAAACGGTTGACGTCTCGAGTCTCATCCTCTAAGCAGGCCCATGTCCGTCCAGGCACTTCCAAGACATGCTGCAAGCACCTTAACTTCAGTCTTTACCGTACTCCCACCCCGAAGATGCCAACAATAGACAACCTTGCACCAATCCTCTTCCCGCCGGCCCCAACATCCTCAACCAAGCTAAAGCAAATCCACAACACAACGGACGCACGCTCAAGTGCAACTCATAATCACTTTGCAACCAACTTCAGCTGCAACCAACCCACACATCACCGACAGCCCAACCTCCCAACTATATCACAACCCGCTGCAACCCAGTGTAAGGTCAACACGAACCACACGGCACCCATCCTGCTAGTCAGACATCTAAGGAGGTCCGTCATGCAGGCACACAAGGGCCTTGCTCGGACACCAACTGCGAATGTGAGAAACGGTTGACGTCTCGAGTCTCATCCTCTAAGCAGGCCCATGTCCGTCCAGGCACTTCCAAGACATGCTGCAAGCACCTTAACTTCAGTCTTTACCGCACTCCCACCCCGAAGATGCCAACAATAGACAACCTTGCACCAATCCTCTTCCCGCCGGCCCCAACATCCTCAACCAAGCTAAAGCAAATCCACAACACAACGGACTCACGCTCAAGTGCAACTCATAATCACTTTGCAACCAACTTCAGCTGCAACCAACCCACACATCACCGACGACAGCCCCCAACCTCCCAACTACATCACAACCCACTGCAGCCCAGTGTAAGGTCAACACGAACCACACTGCACCCATCCTGCTAGTCAAACATCTAAGGAGGTCCGTCATGCAGGCACACAAGGGCCTTGCTCGGACACCAACTGCGAATGTGAGAAACGGTTGACGTCTCGAGTCTCATCCTCTAAGCAGGCCCATGTCCGTCCAGGCACTTCCAAGACATGCTGCAAGCACCTTCAGTCTTTACCGCACTCCCACCCCGAAGACGCCAAAAATAGACAGCCTTGCACCAATCCTCTTCCCGCCGGCCCCAACATCCTCAACCAAGCTAAAGCAAATCCACAACACAACGGACTCACGCCCAAGTGCAATTCATAATCACTTTGCAACCAACTTCAGCTGCAACCAACCCACACATCACCGACGACAGCCCAACCTCCCAACTACATCTGCAACCCAGTGTAAGGTCAACACGAACCACACGGCACCCATCCTGTTAATCAGACATCTAAGGAGGTCCGTCATGCAGGCACACAAGGGCCTTGCTCGGACACCAACTGCGAATGTGAGAAACGGTTGACGTCTCGAGTCTCATCCTCTAAGCAGGCCCATGTCCGTCCAGGCACTTCCAAGCCATGCTGCAAGCACCTTAACTTCAGTCTTTACCGCACTCCCACCCCGAAGACGCCAAGAATAGACAGCCTTGCACCAATCCTCTTCCCGCCGGCCCCAACATCCTCAACCAAGCTAAAGCAAATCCACAACACAACGGACTCACGCTCAAGTGCAACTCATAATCACTTTGCAACCAACTTCAGCTGCAACCAACCCACACATCAGCGACGACAGCGCAACCTCCCAACTACATCACAACCCACTGCAACCCAGTGTAAGGTCAACACGAACCACACGGCACCCATCCTGCTAGTCAGACATCTAAGGAGGTCCGTCATGCGGGCACACAAGGGCCTTGCTCGGACACCAACTGCGAATGTGAGAAACGGTTGACGTCTCGAGTCTCATCCTCTACGCAGGCCCATGTCAAATTCGTTGCAGTTTCCGTGGCCTTTCCGCGGCACATGCTCGCGGTTGCGCTTCCGCACCCAGAAACAAAAATCCTTCCGCGCGATCTCAGTTCGGTGACCCGAGACTGATGTTTGTAGGCCATCTAGGTTGTCGTCTAAGCGTGTCTTCCGCAAGATGCCGTCAAGCTCATGTGCCGAACACGACAAGGCAATGATTTGCTCACACAAATAAAATCCCGCACGAAAGCACTAGCACCCCCAGATGCAGAAGTGGGCGGGGTTGGAGGAGTACAGTACGCGCTGTGAGAACACAACGGTTTTCCGTGGCGATCCAAACTATGCAGGTCATTCCACTACCCTCCCACCAGCTAACATGGGTTTGTGAACAGAGCCCTGCAGAAAGACTACTTTCCTCTTGGTTAGTTGGCCGCTTTGCACAAACCCGTGTTTGGGGGGAGGGTATCGAACCAGTAAGGTGTCCCTCCCGATTCCACGGAAGCCCTCAGATGAGAGAAGACTTCTCGTTGCCTCCTGGGAGCTTCCTTCTCACTTGTGATCGAGATGGCAACCAACAAAAGAAAAACAACCACACGGTATTTTTGTCCAAGCCGCTAAAACGGCCACCAAATTCAAAAAAAGTGACTCTTGAGTCCCTGAACTCGGGAAGTGAGTCAAGCTACCAGCAGCCCTTTGGAAGACTTCTGGATCCATTTGCCCAGGTCCTCCAGTAGAGAGGTTAGAATAAGGGTACCGACTTTCTTCTGTAGTCTATTTTATTTAGGGGAACCCTCCCAACAACAAAAAATGGTGAGAAAGGGCACCTAGCTGTATGACCAGAACTTGCCGAATCGACCTGGGAGCTTCCACTCACTATCGAAAAGAGGAACCACACTTTTTCTTGTCCAAGCCACAAAAAAGACGGCCTTGGGAACACTTTCTCGTTCCATTTTCAGTGACCTTCTAGGAGCTTCCGGCTAACCCCATTCCCTCGTCTTCTCGAACCGAATCCACCCCTCCGGCGGCGACTGCGACAACCACACGCTCTCCGAGCGCCTTTTCGTCTTCCGAGCCAAGCTCGGAAAACGACGCGTTCTCCGACGCCAGCGCCGACGCCCGCGCCGCCGCGCCTGGTCGAAGAAGGTGAAGCGCCGCTCCATGGGCACCCCCGCCTCGCTGAGCAGCGCCTGGCCGAAGTGGCCGAAGTGGCCGAGGCCAAGCGGGCCGGGCCGGGCCGAGCTCGAGGGGCCCAAAAAAAATGGAAGTTTAGTGAGGGAGAAAAAGGTATGTGTAAGCTGAGTGGAAGTTGAATGAGTGAAAGAAAGCAAGCACAAGTCAGGGGGTGTAATTTGAGTAAGGTAGAAAGTGTAGGGTGAGTGAGCGAGAGTAAGCATGCGTGCCACGCAACGCAACAGTCAGGCATGTGCAAAGTCAGGCGTCTGCGACACAAGCCAGCATCAGCATGCACAAACTACTGCGCCTGCCACGCAAACAGCGTGCATTCAAAGAACCTTGGTGCCCCGATACGTGCAGACCACAAGCCGACCGCCCCACGCAAAGCAGTCTAAAGTGCTGCCACCGCCACATAACACAACCTCCGCGCGCGTCAAGAGTATTGCGCCTGCCACGAAAACACCATCAGCATGCACAAAGTATTAGTGAGAGCAAGTATGTGAAAGTTAGTAAGGGTAAGTTGAGTGAGTGAAACAGGTAATTGCGAAACTTAGTGAGTCTAAAATGAGTGAGCGAAGAAAGCTAGTGTCATAAGTGGAGTAAGAGTGAGAGAGTGGTTGAAAGTCAGCGAACGTAAGTGCAGTGAGTGAGAGCAAGCATGTGAAAGTCAGGCGAGGGAGAGTGACAGTGGTTGCGAGTCAGTGAGTGTAGGTTGAGTGTGTTAGTTAGTGAGTGGAAGTTGAGTGAGTGAGTGAGTGAGTGAGTGAGTGAGTGAGTGAGTGAGTGAGTGAGTGAGTGAGTGAGTGAGTGAGTGAGTGAGTGAGTGAGTGAGTGAGTGAGTGAGTGAGTGAGTGAGTGAGTGAGTGAGTGAGTGAGTGAGTGAGTGAGTGAGTGAGTGAGTGAGTGAGTGAGTGAGTGAGTGAGTGAGTGAGTGAGTGAGTGAGTGAGTGAGTGAGTGAGTGAGTGAGTGAGTGAGTGAGTGAGTGAGTGAGTGAGTGAGTGAGTGAGTGAGTGAGTGAGTGAGTGAGTGAGTGAGTGAGTGAGTGAGTGAGTGAGTGAGTGAGTGAGTGAGTGAGTGAGTGAGTGAGTGAGTGAGTGAGTGAGTGAGTGAGTGAGTGAGTGAGTGAGTGAGTGAGTGAGTGAGTGAGTGAGTGAGTGAGTGAGTGAGTGAGTGAGTGAGTGAGTGAGTGAGTGAGTGAGTGAGTGAGTGAGTGAGTGAGCGAGTGAGGGAGTGCGTAGAGGAAGTAGAGAGAGTAGAGTAGAGTAGAGTAGAAAAGTGTAGGTATTCCATCAGTATTCCCCTAGTAGTTTCCTAGTATTCACCCGTAGTGCTGCCCTAGTACTCCCTTGATATTGCCTCCTTATCCCCTCAGCAAGACTTCCCTATTCCTTTAGTATTCTCTTACCCCTAGAGTTCCCTCAGCACTCTTAGAACTCCCTTAATTTAAATACTGAGCACACGTTCCAATCCTGCAGAACTTTAGCTTGGTATGGAAAACACCACCGCTGGGGACATCCCCCTCTCAAGACCGATTGGCTAGGCTCACCTGTTCTGTTCGTTCATAAACACGCGGCCGCGAGGCTGGTTTGACAGCGCCGCGAAGGAAAACCATTGGAGCGTCGTGGTCGTCGAAGTAGGCCACACCATCCTCGATGTGTCTGACATAATTTCTGGATCCCGGAACTGTCGCAATAAATTGCCAGCAGCTACGCCTCCGGCTTATCTGACGAGCCATTCACACAACACCTGAATGTTGCTGGTTTGCATGAGCATAAACAGGTTGCAATAGAAGTGGAATTGCAATAAGGCACTCTGGATATGGGGCAAGCGCGCAAAGGAAAACAACCGGCTTGCTGACCATCGCTCCCAATAGAAAAGTGCAACGCCAAGAATCGAAGAGCTCTTCTGATAGCATCTTGAGCAAGAGCTTGGCCACCTCTTCGTTGGTGAAACCCATCACCAGCGCGCCAGTATCAATGAGACAATGATACACCGGGTCTTTGCTCTTGGCCACCGTGATCCTGACATCGCTGGACTGAGCACGGGTCAATCCTTAAAGCGACAGTTGTGGTTTGTCCCATGTGGCAAAGGCACAAAGAAGCACGGCAAAGGCAAAGCAAACAACGGTAGTCCTTGTTGGCAGCACTGATATGGCCCTCCTCATTGGTTGCCAAAAAACATGCAACAATAACGAAAAGCCAGCAAGCCAGCAGGCCGTTGGTTGATGCATCTCGATATTCTCGGTGAGGGCCAACGGTTTACGCGTTTTTTGGATTTCCGGAAATTATGTGTGAAACAGGTGTCTCCTCTAACAGCACCGGGCTGACAAGTTTAATCTGGCAAGCTCAAGCGGGTAACACACCTGGAGTATGATAACACTTAGGTCATTGCTTTCTTCTCCAACAATAAAGGACCTAGCATTCGCTTAGATCCAAGCATGCAAACCTGCCCTAGGGCCCCATCTCCAATAGCCATCCAAGCACATCAGAACATCCTCCTACCCCCTCCCCCCCCCCCCTTCCCCCTCAAAATCCCCATTCACGTGCTGGTGTGTGTGTGTGTGTGTGCATTCAGTTCATGTTTGATTGGCCCTTCTGCGACGAGTTGTAAGCGGCCACCCTCATCAAGCCTTATGAACGCCCCAACTAAGGCACCTGAATGGGCTGGCTTCACCTTCAGCTCGCGTTTCTTGGTTGACGTTGGAAGGGGAGCAAAATCTAAATTCTAGCAGTTAAGTGGGGACTTCCCACTGAACCACAATAAGCAAACATGTAAAATGTTTCCCAACGGCAACCATGGTTTGCTTTGCTTTCCCTTTCAAGGGCTCATGGCCAATGCTTACGTTTCAAGCGCTTCGCCCCAACGTAAACCGAGCCGAAGCGGCAGGATGCTTTCGGGCGACCAGTCCGCTGGCATCTCGATCAAGGGCGGCACCACGTGCTGTTCGTCGCTCAGAACCGAGAGGATCTCACCTCATCAGGGTCAAAACTAGGGCCTCCGGTCCGAACCAGTAGAGAGGTTACAATCAGGGTACCCTCTTGCCGTAGTCTGCTTTAGTAGGGGAACCCTCACAGCCAAAAAAGGGTGAAAGGGCACTACAGGGGGACCTAGATTGACTTTATGTGGCTAAGTAAAATTACACCAAAGGGGGACATGTCCGCACAAACCGCTGTCCCAATCATGCTTTTCCGCGTGGAGGAGCAATACTTCAAAGGGCAGGGTACTTAGAAAGTGGTAGGCAAGCCTGGTTGTAACCCACTGAACGGAGACTTACAACCATGGCAAGTGGGTTATAGCCAGGCTTACGAACCACATTCCCGCTGCGGCTAATGTTAGACACATATGCGTTCACGCAATTGGCAGATCTACTTCTACTACTCAATTGAACGATGTTGGGCATTGATGCGTCATTCACTACTTAGAAACACAGCTCCCAAAGAATCCAGAACCATGCTCCTGTGCCCAAATGTGCCCGTGTCAACACTTGCCACAGGTTTGTCGCGGAAATGGTTACTACAGAAAGCTTTACCACAGTCGCAAACGTATCAAGCAAGGGCTTGATGACCGCAAATCCTCAAAACACTTGTTCCAGCCATGCCCCCAAGTGTAGCTCATGCAGTACACCAAGCTTTTGATTGCATCTCCGCGTTGTGATCGATACTCAATGAAGTTGTCAGTTATATTTGATGATAGCGGCACTTCTGCGACGTGCTAGGACGGCCCCTTGCAGCACATCGAATAGCAAGTATCGCACATATCCGAAGTTTGCCATGTCTAAACAAGTCCTGCCGTAAAATGCAAAACGTGAGACAAAAGCAAGCTAACCCGCTTGTCTTGAATAGGGAGTTGCACAGCTAAACAGTCAATCTGACCAGCACCTCATGAAGTCAACTGCAGCCTGAGGCAAGCTGTGACTGTGGCCTGATTCATGCTCTGAAGCCTCTACATGACCAATGTAGAGCACCATAGGCCCCACGATTGCTCAGGGGTCCTTTGAGGTGAACCAAGTGCTATCAGTGTCCTGGATATAGACATACACACACCCGGAGAAGACTTGACTGTTGACCAGATGCTGCTTTTATACTATACATTGCGCCACGCACTGAACTCAGCGTGACTGTGACCCAGAGAACACTCTACGGCCCATAGCGCATATGGCTCATGTTTGGGTTCGTGAGCTAGAAAGTTCACAATCATCGTCCTGCTCAGGGCACTGTTGCTCAACGCTCCGTCCGACCCTAAGTTGAAAAAACGGGAACTCGGCCAAACGCACCGGAGTCACAATCAAATCCGTGCACACAAATGGTGAATCCAGAACCATGTAACGAATTAGAAAGGCGGATCTCCGCAACTATTTCCGGCTGGGACTGCCCGTTACAAAGCTTCATCTACCCGAATCGGTTTTGAGCAAGTGGCTCACGGGACTCCAAACGCGAGACGCGCGCGACGCGTCGAGACGGGCGCCTTCGTTTTCAGCCTCGAAGAGGCATTCGCCCAGCTCCTCCGGCAGCAAGGAGGACGGTGTCCCAGAAAATCCTCGCCGCACTCGGCCGTCGGCAGGCGAATGACAAGTTTGGCCAGGAAACACTACATGTGTGTACAGTACCGCACTCATCACCATGGCCAAAACCACTTTTAAGAGAAAATTACAGTTGCAAGTTATGTTGACCCCTTTGATGTCTGAGACATGATTTGTATTGTTCTAGGGGTTGATTCCCCATTCTGTTCCACCATCGTTCTTCTCAAAAGACCGGATCCGTTTCTCCAGGGTTTTGGGTGGTTTTTTGAAGAGATCCGGATGCCTGGAAAGAATGGAAATCGAAGGACGGTACCCCTAGAATTCTGATCCGATCCCAGTCCTATTCGAGAGCTGAAGAGCATGGACGATCCGAGCTCTTGCCCCGTGGCGGAGAGTTTGTACGGCTGCTGGCGCCTCCGAGCGGCGACCGGCAGTCCGTCAGTCCAGTGGCCATGTTTTTTGCTTGTCTGGATGCAGCACTTGGACGCACAGCGGAAAACCAAGTAGGGGATTCCAGAAAGAAAGCATCTTTCAGCGCAGGCTTCTCACCCGAAATGGAGTTGAGTGCCTCGTATTGCAGTTCAAGATTCAAACTCCGGGAGTCAACAACATGCGTGGTGCAAAACGTGTCGCAAAGTCCACTCGACACTTCATGTCGGCAAAACCCAAAGAGGCCTTTTGGCAGAAGTGTGGTTTTCATTCGGGAGCTGCAATGCAGCCGGAAGGGCCCTCCTGACCCCTTTAGGCGATCACTATGCAAGGAGTTGCAATGACGGAAGCTCTGCGTACTCTGAGCATGCCTCTTCCCTTCAGGGAGCATCAGGTGACACCCATCGTTATGGTTCAGAAAGATTAGTTGAGCGGCTTTGTAAATATGATGCCGACCAACGTACTAGTGATCATACAAGTGATGGTCGCATGTTCTGCCCAGACAAATGCCCTGCAAGCCCTGCAACCGATCTGGCTATGGGTCAAAACCCCGTACCCCCAGTGAACATCCCTTTTAGACTAAAATGGGTGGTGCACCTACCCCAAAATGGTATCCCATTGGTGTTGACCCACGGCCATCTCAGTTCTGAGTGAGCGAAAAGTCGTGCACGCTTCACCTGCCAACCGCCGATTCAGTCGAACGCCCACCGAGGCTCATGGAAGATCGAAATTTGGTGCTGCTCGCTGGCTTGAGCGAAGTCGTTTGCTTGTCGAAGCCGACAAAGGAACAAATGGCAACGTGGTTGTCAAAACCGTTTTGGGATCCCATTTTGGTTGGTAGGTGAATTCACCACCCGTTTTGGAACCTATTTTAGTGGTAGGATTGGGATGTTCACTGGGGGTACAGGATTTTGACCCATGCCCAAATGAGAAACTATGTCCAATAGTGATAGGTTCCCTTTCCAACCAATAGGGAAACAAAAACAGGTATTCTAGTCGTGAAATTGGTTTTCCTTTGAACCAGCAGGGAAAATGACACATATTATTCAGCAAATGGAAGCTCGTCTTTGAGCAATTTCTTCAGCTTATCGACACTTTGCGTAGCGCGCGCGTATGGGGATGTGTTGGGGATCGACATGCTCGTTACGGGTGCCAATTGGGGGCCCTACCTGTTTCGGCATGGCAAGGCCATATGACCGTGGGTCAAAATCCTCTACCTGCCAAGAACATCCCAATGCGCACTAAAAAAGACTAAAACGGGTGGTGCGCCTATCCCGAAATGGGACCCCATTGGTTTGACCATGGCCGTATTTACAAAAGGGCGTTGGTCCTCTGAAGCTGCCCTGATTTGATGTGCAGAAATGGGCACAGGCGCGAGTATTGATCTTCCCAAACCATGGCTAGTCCTGCAAAAAATATATGGCTGTGGGTCAAAATTACACCACCAGGGATCCCGGGTTTTAGTCCTTGGATCCATTTACCAAGGTTCCATGTTGGGTACCTATTTGTGACCCACTGCCATATGTTTGCTGGCCCTCTGAATCAGGCTTGGCCAAAGTTCAACCGCATCAACAACCCCTTCCAGGCTAAAACTGTTCACGCAAACAAAACCCGCAAGCAAGCAAGCAAGCCGGCAAGCAAGAAAGCAGGCAAGCAGGCAAGCAGGCAGGCAAGCAGGCAAGCAGGCAAGCAGGCAAGCAAGCAAGCAGGCAAGCAGGCAGGCAAGCAAACAAGCAAGCAGGCAAGCAGGCAAGCAGGCAAGCAGGCAAGCAGGCAAGCAGGCAAGCAGGCAAGCAGGCAAGCAGGCAGGCAAGCAAACAAACAAGCAGGCAAGCAGGCAAGCAGGCAGGCAAGCAGGCAAGCAGGCAAGCAGGCAAGCAGGCTGGCTGGCTGGCTGACAAGTCAGCAGGACCTTTCACCCAGTGGCCATGGGAAAAAAAGGGCATCCTTTTTTTTGGGTTGAGTTTCAAGGGGAACCCTTCCCCCCAAAAAAAGGGCGCCACTGGGCAAGTGGGCTATCGCTCGTCATCCGTCAAGCTGCAGAACCGCATCGAAGACCATCGTCAGCAAATACCACAGGACGATCTCTGGCACTGGGCCCAGCAGTTCCATCGCCACCTGGAAAAATGCGGAAAAAAAAGGAGGCAGAAGAGGACAACTACACATGGGCCACCAAAACCGATTCGGATAGATGAAGGTTAGTAATTGGGACAATCCCCTTGCCATAATAGCTGCGGATATCCGCCTTCTTAATTCTTGAAGCATGGTTCTGGGACTGCAACCATTTTACTTGGCTGGAATTAGGACCCCAGCAAAAAAATATGTTTTGCCTGGTTAGTGGAAAAACAAAGGGAACCCCAAAAAAGCAAAAAAGCAAAAAGGGGAGCCAATTCTGGGGAAGTTTAGTACTGGGTTTTGAGCAAGTGACTCACATGACTTCGACCGACAGACAAGCGACAGCTATCTGCCAACTTCCAGACTCAGGGGCGACCTGCAAGCGACCGCGCACACCACATGTGTCCCGTGCCGAGAGACAATCATATAGGCTTGCTAGCATTTTTTTCAAATTGAAACGATTAAAGTGACGGCGGACCCAGAAACACTGGAAGAATCTAAGTGGATCGTACCACAAAGGATACTCTCTGCCACTACACCCGCGCCCAAACTCACCACAACAACACCCAGCCTATTTCATAGCAAAAATCGAGGCAACCATAATAATGCTACGACAGCACGGCCACACCAGTGACAGCACCGACAACGATTTGACGAGGGCAGCAACATCAACAAAGTGTGTATGGAATCTGATTAGATCAGAATATAGTGGGCTGCCCGTTTTCAGATCCTTTTTGGTTTGTTGAGTTCAAAAGGATTCTTCCAAACAAAAGTTGAGACCTGGGCTGCCGGTTTTCAGATCCCCCGCTAAAAGTGAGATTGGCTTTGGGTTAAATTCGGAAACTGCCGCTCACTCAAAGGCCAAGCTAAGGCTTTAAGGAGCCGGATGCCTGGGAGTGAGCCACCAAGCACAGTGAATTAGATTGGGCAAACGAGGAGTCGGCATGGCAAACCAAACAGCTGGCTCCGCACAAAACAAAAAAATCCTACCATGTCCCAGCGAAAACAATTCTCAGCATAAAGTTGCGACTAGCGCATGTACTGCATGTACTCTTCTTGGCATGACCAGAATTGCCCCCGCTAATGCAAGCATCGTGCAGGCAGGAGTATGAATCCGGCTTCAAAAGGAGAGCCAAGAATGGCGGCTTAAATTATCAACAGGGCTCAGCAAGCTCAAAAAAGCTCAAAAACCATGCATCTCTGAGTCCCAATGCCCCAAAGCGCCACAAACCAACGGCTCCGCAGGCTCTTTTTCCGAGCAACCCCGAAAATCCAGACACTCTCTTCTGCTAGGTTTCATGTCGGTCCCTGTCCAAACGACGCATGGTTTTGACAAGGTGACATCTGCTTTTCGCAATCAGACGAATCAAAAGAGTCCGCCTAAAAATAGTTCCCCCGCTAGGGGTAAAGGATTGACACACATCAAAAGGGACACTCACTGGGAGTCAGTGCTGGAAGTCACGCTGCTCCAAAATCCATAGCCCTGCGATACAAGTGCAGAGTCTACGTCTTGCAGAGGCCTTAACTTTGGAGCAAGCGGATTTCGAGCGCATGGGAACGAAAGCACCTTGCTCTACAGCAAAGTACCGGTGGGCTGGGCAGGACTTGGGGAGTTGAACAGTGAGCACACCCACACACAAAGGTCAGTGGGATTCGAAGGTAAAGAACATAAACAACTCATGTCCTCTCAGCCCATGTGATATATTCTTTGATTGCTTTGGTCTCACTGACCGTCACATTCAAAGGATGAGGATGAGCGAAGAACAGAATTCAAGACGGAAACCTCTTTGCCAGTGTTCCTGGCGCAGAGCGGGACCGGAAGTTCTCCTGCAAGCACGCTGCGGATGGTTTACTCCGCAAGCATGCAAGAAGATCAAATCTGGGCTGCCCTGAGATCTCCGGCAAAAAGTTTAGCTTTTAGTGGGGGAAATGGAAACTACCACACCCTAAAAACCTAAAAAGCTAAAGAGGATGGCTGGGAGCCACCAAGAAGGACATGTTCAGCAAATGCGCCGAATTGCGTGGGAAAACAACTTTGTCCGCAAAAACAAAGGTTCTCCCCAATATAGGGCATCTCCCCCTCTCTCCATTGAATATTTTTGAGGATTTACTTTTTGCCCTGGGTTGATATTGCTGGCCCAAACGTATCAGGCGCTCAGGTTGGAGTTTCTAGCGAGCAAGGATGCGGATAGCTGGTGCTCAGCAGGGCATGAGAGAATAACCCCTGTAAGCCATCTAAGGGGACCCCTGGGTTCATTCAACCACATTCCCTGCCTATCGCACCAGCAAGTTAAAGATTTCGTTGATCCCGACACAAATTTGGCCAGGCCGCGCACAGTGCGAAGGATTCCACAACATGCTCCTAAATTGGCCAAACTACCTGACAGGATTGGCCAAACAAGTCTGAACTTCTTGTTTGCCATTAAACATACTAAACCTGAAACCCCAAAAAAGAGACTTAAGTCCTAGTTCCTCAGGCAGTTACTTGGAGACCTTGGTTCTTTGGACCCAATGCACGAATCAACCTCGCAGCTTGCGGCTCTGTATTTCAGCTGCCAACATTTACGGTCGGCAGCAACCCAACGTATCGGTAAATAGCCAGACGCCGGGAACTGTTTCAACTCCGAGCACTGGCCTCATTATTTGACTATGATCAAAGTAACCCCTTAAGTGGTGGGTTAAAGGGAAACAACCCCATTTTCTTACTTTAAGACCCCCAGAAACCGTCAAAATAATGACACCGGGAAAAGCTGCGCCACATCTTGCCAGGCGACGTCCAACTCTTCTATCTTTGCAAACAAGAAAAAACCCGACTGGAAATGAGCAACTGAGCAACAACGCAAAGGGCACTACAGTGCTGCGTGTACAACAATGCCAAACCAAGCTGCGACCCAGTTGTTTCTTGGATAATTTCTGCTTTGGAGTGGTCCGAAAGCATAGTCGAACATTCCTGGCATCACTGGCACACCAATATTATACTTCCATTTGCTGGTTTAATTTTGACCCATACCCAAATACTCAGTTCAGCAAATGGAAGTCTATGGGCCGCCAAAAATATGCAGCCCGGAGCTGGCCCTCACTTCAGGCGGCAGATCTGAGCTTCCTGCTTCTTGCACTCACCTTGCACACCTCCGGAAAGGGCCCGAGCACATTTGAGCTGAAGCCAAAGGCATGTTTTTGTTTTTTTGTTTTTGTTTTTTCTCCGGGGCAGAAAAAGAAGAAGAATATGGGGTTCTGGTGTAGGTGACCCAATTCAGTGATCATAGTAGAATATCTTATGTCTAACCCCTCACATTCTTCGGCCATGAAAAAACAAAACCGGATGCGGCCAGAAGCGCTGAGGACATGTCCGGGCACCGGCGCGCCACGGACTTCACGGTCTTCTGGACCAGGTCTCGGTTCTGGTTCCGCATCAGCTGAAACGCCAGGACGACCTGAGACCGCTTCCGGATAGGCAGCTCATCCCACCTGACCGAAGACCGAACCGAAGACGATCTGGGACCGTGTCCCAGAAGCCACCTGAAACACCAAAGCGAATACGAAGGGACCGTGTCCCAGAAGCCACCTGAAAACCGAACAGAATACGCGATGACCAAATGCATGCAGCATTTGAGGTTCTGCGATTCAACAGGGATTGAGGCACCTAATCCCAAGCGGGACTTGGTTGCGGGAAAGTGTCTTCTTACTGTCGTGGGCGTGCGAGCGAATTCTGATTTGATCACGTCAATCAACACTAAGTCCAGGTGCAACAAGCACCTAAAACACACGCCTAACTCATCCAATGCTCATCCAACAGGTTCATATGCATGGGTGTGTGAGGTTTTGCGGTGTGTTTTGTTTTCCTCCCTGATGTTTTTCGACGCGCAATTTGGTAATCCTGCCCAACACTAGGGCACCTTCTAACCCGTATCTTGGAAAAGAAAACCAAAGGGCGATCTGCCGTGGTCCCCTGAGCTTCCAATGAATACACAACCATGTCCCTACAGAACTCCTGGTAGCTGCATAGCTGTAGATGGCTGTGGATGGTTTTGAAATCCAAACCGCACCACCTAAGAAACCATGGTTCAAACCATTGGTTGTTGGTATGTACGTTGGGGAATCATCAGAAATCAGGGTTTCTCAGGTGGTGCACCATGAATTCCGTCAGTAGTTGCAGGCAATTTTGGATTCCCCCAGCTCTCGGCTCCCTTCTCTACTTGAAGGGGCAGGGCACTTAGTGGTTACAACCCGCTCAACGGAGACTTATAACCATAGCTGGGTATCTCACCAGGCTTGCGATCACCAACTACCCGATCGCTCCTTTAAGCAAGAAGGGGATGGAGAGGATGGAACAAATATCGGGGGAAGGGCAAAAAAACATGCTGGTGCGATAGGCAGGGAATGAGAAATGGAATGACCCTAAACCATGCCCTATTTCCTGTATTCGGACACCAAAGCCTGGGTTCATTCAACCACATTCCCTGCCTATCGCACCAGCAAGCTAAAGATTTCGTTCATCCCGACACAAATTTGGCCAGGCCGCGCACAGTCCGAAGGATTCCACAACATGCTCCTAAATTGGCCAAACTACCTGACAGGATTGGCCAAAGTCTGAACTTCTTGTTTGCCACGAAACTTACTAAGCCTGAAACCCCCAAAAAAGAGACTTAAGTCCTAGTTCCTCAGGCAGTTACTTGGAGACCTTCGAGGTCCTCCAGTAGAGAGGTTAGAATAAGTTGGTACCAACTTTTTTCTGTAGTATTTAGTAGGGGAACCCTCCCAACCAAAAAAAGTGGGTCAGAAAGGGCACCTAGCTGGGGGACCTAGTAGCTAACCAACTCCACTTGCTGCGAATTGCCAGGCCAAAGAGACCATTTACGGGCCCTGGCCAGAAAAGCACTCCTCCAATTAAGTTCAATCAACCACCCTCGCCCCTGGGAATATTATTTTTGGGACACCCTCCCCCGAAAAAGTTGGTGAGAAAGGCCCTAGAGGGGACCGCCACCGGGAAAAGTCTCCGGCATCCGCGTCCCTCGGACGCGGCTCAGCCACCCTCAAAAAAGACACAGCCGTTTACTTTCACCCGACCTTGTTTCCCTGGGATCTACCACTTAACCGCTGATTTTGATGGTGAACTGGGCGAGATGGGGACAATGTTGAAAGAACAAACCTTGGTTGCTGTTGACCCCCCCGCAAAAAGTTTTTCACTTCTTGGGTTGGGGGTTTAGTCTAAAGAAAACCCAACTTGATTTCAACCAAACAGTTAAAGTCTAAAGATCCGTTGCCCAGTAGCAGTCAAGAAACAAAACCCTTTAAAACCAACATGGGGAAATAAAAGCAATATTCATTTCAGCAAATGGAAGGGGAAAAAACAACAACCATTCAAAACGAAACCACCGGTCAAGAAAAACCAGCGGCTACCGGCGCCGGAAGCCCCGCCCGCCCGGCCCCCAGCCGGCCCCCGGAAGCTCCCGCCTCTGGGCGAGCTCCTCACTGATCTCCGCGAAAAGCCAGGACGCCGAGGCGCCGCCGGGCAGCGACGCCACAGAGACCAGGGCGGAAATCAGGACTTGCACCTCGGCAAAAAGGTTGGCATGGCCCGGGGTGCAGCCCAAGTATGGGGATGCAAAGTATGTATATATATATATACACCTATATATATATATATACATATATATATATATATATTCAAATATGTATATCTATATATATATATATATTCAAATATGTATATATATATATATTTGTATAACTATGCCCATATATAAATAGATATCCCCTCCAACATTGCATTTGTGCGGTGTTTGAGAGTGAAGGGTTCCCCAGAAATCTGGCATCTTAAACATTGAATCTTGAGAGGCGTGACTTTAAAGCCACTTTGTGGTAAAATCGGATTCAAGATGCCCCAGGATGTGTTTTTTTGTTTTCACTTGCAGGAAGCGGTTGGCAGCTCCGGCTGAAAACATGTAACTTGACAGCACAAGACTAGTAGGCGAAGTGTACTTTGGCAGCTTCAACGCGCCTGTACCAGCCCTGTTATCGTGTGCTTACTCTTGTCATTTTGCGGGGTGAATCAGCAAACTTTCAATATTGGGGAAATTAATTCATTCCTATCTAAGCCTGCTGGTGCGATTGGCAGGGATGGCATGACCCCGAGAAAAACCATCCAACTAGTGGTTTCCCTTATTCGAACACCAAAGCCTGGATCGCAGCAGCAAGTAAAGGAAAAATAAAGTGCTACCAAGTAAGAGCACAAACTGAGCCAAGCCAAGTACAGGAATGCGTTTCAATCAACAAGGATCCGATCCTTGCACAAATGGATTAAAACTGTGGTATTCTGTCAGCAGGTGTCAGATCATCGTTGCTCCCCGCAAATGCAAAAGTTAAGCTGCGCGTGTCATTTTTGCCCTCACAACTGAGGGTCAAGCTGGGCACCTACTAGGTCGAGCATGAAGAGCTCATGAAAACAAAAACAATTTCTGGAAAAACTTGCAGGGTGTTTGAGCGGACCCAAGATCCAAGACGCAACACACAAGGTGCGTGGGAAGCTTGATCTCAAGCTGCCCCAAAAACCAAAGTAATTGGACAAGTCTCACATTGCACAACATGTCCGAAGCTACCAGCTTGGTTCGCCAATGTTGCGCAACAGTTGGGAATTGTTGCGACAGTTAGGCAACATTTGGAAAATGTTGAGCGACATCTCCACTAGACAAAAAAAAAACCTACCCCATCATGGCTGGAAAGTTTCGATCTTGTTGTCTTGTTTTCTTTCTTGGTTCTTTGGTTTGTCGAACTTTGTTGCGCAACATGTGGGGAATGCTGGGCAACATCCCCAAACTACTATCAATGAAGCCTGCTAAGAGTCGAAAACGTTCAATGGCTTAAATGGACACCTAACCACTAAACCAACTAAACACCCAACCACCTAAGGAATCCGGGATCTGGGAACCGCCAAGTAAAACTATAACTGACTAATGTTCATGAGTCCCAGCAAGAGATTGGATCTCCGAAACTCCTAAACATTTTGAAGCAAAAAGACTCAAGGCTTGGCTTTTGGTCTTCTCTCCGGCCAGTTGACACCTCTGGATCTATTTGGAGATCCATTGCTTGATGCATGCTTTCTGGAACTTACAAACTGTCCGCGAGGGATCCTGAATTAAATGTTCCCAAATCTTTGTTGCCTTCTGCAATGTTGGTAGTCCACTCATCAGCAATGTCCCAACAGCTTGACTCAGTGTTTCCTCAGCCATCATTTGGATATGTCTTGTTGTAAGGGACGCATAAACTGATCGTTTTCCACTTGGTGTCCCTTCAAAGCCACTGAAAGGGGGGTACCCTCAAAAAAAGACACACCCATCTACCGCACCAGCCAGAGGCGCTTTCACGTTCTTCACTCCAGCATCCAAGAAGAGCTTCATCACGGCATCCGTCAAATTCCGCAAGTTGGGCAACAGCTGCCCAACCTTGCTCAGCTTCTTCAGCTGAGCGTACGACCACAACAAGTTGGTCAACTCGTAGATTTGACCTCGTGCAGAACCCAATGGCAAACCCTCTCCGGAAAAAAAAAAAAAAAAAAAAAAAAAAAAAAAACTACAAATATGTCCAGTAGTGATAGATCCCCTGTAAAACCAGCAGAGGAAAATACCACATATTCAATTCAGCAAATGGAAGAAGGCCCCGGACAAAGGACACCACCAGTTGGGATGGTTCGGGGTCATTGACAGCCGAGGGGAAAGCTCTTTGCTGCCTCTCTTGCCGAATCTGAATCAGATGCGCGGATTTCCATGGGAAGGAAGGGCCACTCCTTTTTTGGAACTTTAAAATTAACAGGGGAAATAAAACACATTCTTAAGCAAATGAAAGTTCATGCGAGTGCTCAGCTTGCCGCTTGCAGGAAAGTCGGCTGGCTACGGTAGAGACATGTTGTGTGGGGCAATCCTATGCAATAAATGAGGTGGAACAACTCCGCACTTATAACATTGTAAGGGCACCGTGCAAAAAGCAAGATGCACTGCACATTTAACCTCTGGGAATCTTATGCTAAGATACTGTGGATGGACAAAACCCTGCACCACCTAAGAAACCCTGGAATGATGATTCCCCTGAGAATGCCAACAAACAATGGTTTCCCATGGTTTCCAAGTGGTGCGAAGTGGATTTCGTCCATCCACAGTACTATGCAAAACATGGCTTCTATGCAAGCTGGCAATTTGTTTCACATGTCAGACCAAAGATATACGTGAAGATCTTCCCTGCACGTCAACCCGGAACAGCAAAAAAAAGCAGCCGCGCTGTTCAAAACAATCCTCCTACAAAATCCTCCTACAAACAGGTGTTTTCGGGGGGCACCATGACACAATTTGCCTACTTAGGTGTCTTTCTTTTTTTTTTTTTGGGGGGGGGGGGCGCCATGACACATTTTGCCGATTTATACAGTGTTCAAGGGTGTGTGATCAGAAAGCCTCGTGTCCTTAGAAGCAATCATCTGCAGGAAGATCATCATCTGCCCATGGGTCAAAAGCCAAAATTGCGTACCCCCAGTCCAGTGAACATCCGATTCAATCCAACCACTAAAGTAGGTTCTAAAATGGGTGGTGAATTCACCAACCAAAATGGGATACCATTGGTTTCGAAACAGCCATCTACTTCCAGTGGAACAATCTTTTGGGCGTGCTCCAAGCTCCTCCGTAGCTTTGTACCACTGAGAAGTCTTGGAAAACAGACAGCCTCCGACTCAGATAAAACCTTGCACTCCGGGACACGTGGCGCGACGGACACCGTGATGCTTACCACTCTGCTGAGGCTTTCTCTGGGGGGGACTAGGTCGAAACCAGTAGGGATTTTAGAATAAGTTGGTACCAACTTTTTTCTGTAGTCTGTTTTGTAGGGTTCGGACCCCCTCCCAACCAAAAAAGGGGTGAGAAAGGGCACCAATCGCTGGGGGACCTAGGGGGTGAGGTTGTGGAAGCGTATCAGCATTGCACCTCAGCATCTCCCTGCCGCATCCACGGCTCAGAAAGAAGGGGTCGGGTTGGGCCGGTCCGCTGGTTTCAAATGCCTCGACCAATGCTGTTGCATCCTTATCTTCCATTTGCTTTTTCGCCCCCCGGAAACAATAACAAAACATGTCCAGTAGTGACAGATTCCCTTTAAAACCAGCAAGGGAAAATTTAAAATAATCTTAAGTTTAAAATAATATCAAGCAAATGGAAGTAGTGACTAGTAGTGGTTTCCCATACAACCAAGGGTCCAGAACCCGCAACTGCCCAAGACCGAGGTGCAATGCGGCAGGCTCCTCAGCGTGTTTGTGGTCAGCATGGAGAAGAGCGAGTTCCGGAAGGTCCCGAGGGTGGCGCAGGACCAAGCGATCAACGTGCAGCAATTGGGCGGCATAGAGCCGTCCTGGTACATCATGTCCTGATGGCACGAGCAAAAGTATGAACAAGACATTCAAGCTAGCGTTTGCAGCTGGTGAGGATTGAATTTTGGGAGTTGAAACAGGAAAGAACATGAAAATCTCACAACAAAACGTTGAAGTCTCTTCAACACAACTCAAAGGACTGAGTGCGAGAAAGCACGGATTTCTTCCGAAAGAGGCGTCGTTGCAGCTTCGCGTTTGGGGAAGGTCACCTTTCATCTGAAGGGCTGCCCGTGGCATTGGTCGTTGCCGTGAGTGAAGCAAACAACATGGATCTACCATCATCCTACAGGTCGACTAACCTTCCCAGCTTGAGCTGGGTCTTTTTGTTGAGGCTACCCAGTTTGGGTTGGTCGTAAAGGGACACCAAAAGGAAACCAGGTGGGTGGGTCCCCTAAAAAACACACACACCTAACTCCCCTAACAAGTTAAAGATGCACCTGCTTTGCTTACAAAGCCAAAGCAAGCTCTCACGCACTGAACTGTTTTCTCCAGCAGTTGTTCAAGCAGACTATCAGGAAGTTCAGCAAGAATTGAGTCCTTTCTGAGGCTAACATGGAAGCCCCCAAATTGGCTGTTTCAGGCGAACATCATCATCCAGCATCCTCTAGCTGCGTACCTAGTAACTCCACAGTACGTCTCCGTCTGGTGACCCTTTTCGAGTGGGCAAATCTCAAACAACAAAAAAGCTGCTAAAAGTGAGGCAGCTGTCCAAAATGCAAACATACGCATCACCTGGCGTCCAACATGGGTCACAAAAACACAAACATGGGTATGTCTTTTCTTCGGGGAGCCCCATTTCGGTGGTTTAAATAAAGGGAAACCAACAGGAACACTGTTGCGCTATAATATACATATGTGTATATATATACTTTAAACACCTCTTTTTTGCGGGGAGGGGGGTGTCCAACTTACAGAGAACAAAAAAGAAGAAAAAAAAACGAGCCACCCACATCGACCTGCGCTCGAAGGAAAAAACAAACCGCAGCTCCTGCCCGGCCAGAAGCTCCGCGCGGTCCATCATGGCCTGGAGAGTGCGATCAAAGATCTCCTGGCGGAAGGACTTGGGGCCCGACCGATCGATTTTTGGCTGGGTGTGAAAGGGAAGCCAACAGGAACCCCTTTAAACTCCAAGCCCTGGGGAAGTTAATCTCTTACAGACATATAGCCCATGTTACCCAAAGAGTTGAAAAGTTGTGTTTTTAAGAGGTAAGAACAGGAACCAATCTGCAAATGGACTTGGATTTGCGAATCAATCTGTCAGAAAGAGAATCAAACTTTGCAAAGGAGAGCTTCTGCAAATCATGTTGCGAATCGATCTGCACGTTTTTGCAATATGGCCATGGGTCAAAACCCAAAATTCCGTACCCCCAGTGAACATCCCAATCCAACCACCAAAATAGGTTCTAAAATGGGTGGTGAATCCACCAACCAAAATGGGATCCCATTGGTTTTGACCCCACGGTCATAGGTCCAAAAGGGACCAGTTGCAAACTCTGCTTTTTGCAGGCCCCCACGAAAAAACTAACAGAACCAAAGAACCTAAAAAGGTTCATGATTCGAGTGGGGACCAGTTATAGAATGTATATTCGATTGTTTGCTTTGAGTGACTGGTAACATGTAAGATGTATCTTAAGTGTACCCCAGAAAGGAATTGCGAGTGGATCTTTTCATGTCCAAAAGCTGCTTTGAGGGATCCCCAAGTAAAACTTGGGTGAGCATTTTACCCCGAGGTGAGCTTGCTATTAAATAGGCAGAATCAACTGCACAAGCAAACCTCCCTTCAGATTCCATCCAGTGGGCCTCACATGCCTAGCATAACTTTCAGCATCTCTTACTTCTCTCTTGCAGAGGGTAGCCACAGTCACAAGTTTTCGTTTACAGCACAAGCAAGGGGACGAGCAATACGATCCTCACGATTCTGCAGGAATTGCCGGGCTCATGTGCCAGGCTTACAGATGTTGGCTATCCCTAGCTGTTTTCGGGAAAACCAATGAATTTCCATGGCTCTTTGGATCCTCAACAAGTGCATGAAGCGGCTAGAAGACAGGGGTGGCCGAGTAGGAATGTGTTGATGCCAACTCTCTCTCCCTTTCTGGTACTGCCGTTCCTGCGTTCTGTGTGATGAGAGTTTCCTTGAAAGCGCAGTGCAACAATGCTTAACTAACTCTAAACCTGTGGGACTGAATGTGTTTAAGCGCCCCACAGCTTCACGCAACACATTGCGACAGTCATCCGACAGATAACTCGTTGACCCAACCAGGCGATCCAACCCGGCGGAACCCAGCCCCACTCCCCCCTTGTCACCCCACCCCCGCCCCCACCACTTGGCTGTGGGTCAAATATAGGGTAACCCCAAAATATAACCCTGGCAAATCCTGGCAAATGGAAACATGGACTAAAACCTGCGGCCTCCCTGTTGGTTTAATTTTGACTCATACCCACCAGGGCCAACTCCACCACTCTCAGTCAGCGCGTTCCCGAACGCTCCTTGGAGCCCTTGGAGTCCTTGGCACGGGCGAGGCGATGAAAGGCCGTGGCCAGGTTCACACCGCTCATCTGCTGCAGGTGCCGCCCCACCGCCTCCAAAAGCTCCTGAAAGGTAAGAGGCAAAGAGCAGGGAAGTCTTTTGGCCGAAAAGTGATCCACCCCCTGTAGTGAAGGAGTCCTTTTTGGCAAAAAGACACCCCTGGCCAAGAGGCAATGAAGAGAAAGAACGGATCCTTAAGAGAAGAGATACGAAACATGTACCCTCCCACAAACTAACATTCCACCAAGTCCCTTTCCAAGAGAAACACAGTCTTTCTACAGGGTCTGTGCACTTCCATGTTCGTTGATGGGGGGGGTAACACATTTATGCCATTATGTTTACAATCATTTCTCTGCTCCATGAGGCAATGAAAACAGATAGATAAACTTCCTTCCTGAGTGGAGTGGCTAAAACATCTCCTCAAATAGACAAAACGAGCGATGAACACATATACCCTCCAACCTTTTCACATGGAACCGTTCGGCGTTCGGGGGGTCTTGGTTTGGACCATTGACCTTTTGAGGGGTCTATGAACTCCACCAAAATGTACAAGCTTAAAACAAGCTGGAGTGAATGAGATATATATATATATATATCGGACCATAGGATAGAGGCCTGCCAATTAGTCTTATTTGTTGTATCTTATTTATCTTTCAATATTTCGAGAATCATTGTTTGCAGGACTTCATATGATCGTTTTTGTTCTGTGCTGTCTTTACGTAACCATCAACTCATCACTTATTCAAGTTTGATAGAAGATGTATGATTGGAAGGCAATGAATCTTTGGATATATTATGTTTGATATCGATGCTAATCGAATTACCTTCATGTCCGAAATTAAATAAATAGATGGATTATGGAGGAGCTGCTTCTACCTTTAAGGATTTCTTGTTGGAAGAAAGGTCCAGCATTCGCGAGACACGAAGAATCTCCAGCATGTAGAAGTGATTAAGATCAGGGGAATGTTGGAGTAGAACTAATAGAAATATGAGCCACATAACACAGGTATGTTTCTATCTTATCTATGCTTCTATCTGATCAGGTCTTACAGTATGATGTTTATATTCATGTATCTTCTCTCTCTGTCGTCACATTAAATGTTATATAGTTGGTTTGTTTCATGTTAATTGTTATGTTTGGATTGCACGAGAAATATACATATGTCAATACAATGGAAACGCTAAGATATATATATATATATATATATTAAAAAAAAAAAAAAAACAGAAAGACCGATACAATCAAGAAAATACTAATACTAAGGTAAGATAAACATATGTTACGAAACCCAACCAACATAAGTTGTATATAAATAAATAATACTTAGAATGATAATAAGATACGACTCCGATGGCCTACTTCGAATATGGGATACCTTACGACCAAATGTCAATTATTCGCCCCGAATGAATAGGACAAGGATGCATATTCTGGCAAGTTATGAGAGAATGGCAGCCAAGCAAATGATACATGTAGCTCATTACGAAGCAACAAACAAACAAACGTTAGTCATCTCCGAGGAGGGAAAAACCAATTGGGCAAAACAAGAAGGAAAGAACGGTGTCATGGAAAGCAGGTGGCAAAGTGAAAAGGAAAGCCTGAAAACCACCGCTTTAAGCGAGGTTCCCGGTTGCCCTGCTCGGCCATGGTCAAGATCTCTTTGTTGATTTGCTTCTGGATCCCCAAGGGCGAGGGCTGTGAGCGCGTCGGGGACTTGCAAGCCGTGTAGCCAAGCGAGGGCAAATCACCCTCGCTCTTGACGCCCTGGTAAACCTTGACAACCCTTGATATGGCTGGTCAAAAATAGGGTAACCCCAAAATGGAATGCTGGTAAATGGAAACATGGACTAAAACCTGCGGTTTAATTTTTACCCATACCCATATGCGAGCAAAACTAACTGGCTTTTTTGTTGCAGCCCCACACGCAAAATAGAACAGAACCAAAAACCTAAATACCTAAAAACAGGATCCAAGAGTGAAGAAACCACACAGCAGACCGGCAGGTCGCCTTCCGTCTTGGTCTTACCTCTCGAGTTGGACGGCCCAACGTTGGAACCAACGGGACTTTCGCTCGCTTCCTGGGAAGGCTGCGAGGCCGACGAGCGACCACAGTCCTGCACAAAGTTGCGTGCAAGAGCAAGGCATTTGCAGCATTGACATTCAAGCATGAAACATTTACAGCATTTACAGCATTAAACTAATGAAACTAACAGTTGGTGTTGTTCCATTCATTCACAGTCTACTTTTTGAACAGCACCAAATAAATCTCCGGGGCAAGCTTTGCCTCCAGATAGGTGCTGTTTAACGGTGTGAGTCTAAGCTGTGCCAGAGATTGATCCGCGGTAGCTGAATCCACGTCGTTAGCCCGTTCATCCGTCCTTGGTCCTTTTTGGAAGAGGCTGTTGCGCATAAGGAGCTGTACAAACGCTGGTATGATAGCTGTTCCTTTCTCCGACAACCCTACTGGCGCAGCCCCAATGCCCCCCACCACAACAACACAAATTTTGGGACGCTCGCAAAACTGCGAGCGAGTACAAACATGGGTGTTGCTGGTGATATTGAGGGAGCTATTGGTGATGAGGATGCGGAAAGCCAAAGCCACAAAGCCGCAAGCCATCAAAACTTGCAAAAAGACCACCAAAAGCCAAACAGCCAGCGCGGAGAAATCAAACAACAAATCCTGAAAACAATGGTATTATCTCCCTCAAACGGGCTGGATCGCACATATGGATCGGTATGGATCGTAGGTGGAACCGGGTCCATACCCACATGTTGATGCACAGCTTGGCTTGTTTTGGCTGAGAAATCATGCGACAAGTGTCCTGACGTCGCAGCTGGCTGGAATCATCTGACATCTCAGAGCTCCCCAAGCTTCCCATGGTGTCGCCGGACTTCTCAAAGGCCTGGTGCCGTGTGGCCATGGGTCAAAAACTCCGTACCCCCAGTGAACATCACAATTCCCACTAAAATAGACTTGACCCACAGCCATATACATACGGAAAGGAAAAACAGGCCCAAGTGTGTAGCCCACACGTCAATGTCTACGCATGCCGATGCAAGTCGAAACTAACCTTGTGTGGGTTTACTGGGACTAATCAAGAAGAACCAATCCGACGGATGTCTCCGCCAACAAAAACCGCCACCTCGCACAGTGCAGGGATAGTATGTCAGGCAACCTTGGAGTGATGTTCAAAGGTCTTTTTCGCCTCACCTGGACATCTTCAAGCTGAGCAGGGCAGGAGAAAGTCCTTTTGCACGGTGCAGGCGCATCCACAAAGCTGAAGTGCAAAAACGTCTTCTTCACAGAGACGCGGATGCCCTTCTGCTGGCTCATGGCTCGAGAGCTGGAAATTCCTCAGCACTTGCCTGCAAATGCTTGCAAGCTTGAGCCCAGTGGGGAACAACAACTTGCAGCCCAGAATGTGGCGCACCTGTCATGTGGCTGTGGGTCAAAACCAATGGGATACCATTTTGGTTGGTAGGTGAGTCGGGACTTTAGTGGGGATTGGGATGTTCACTGGGGGTACGATTTGGATTTTGACCCATGGCCATGTCCATGCTTGCATGCCGTCCATAGCACGGCGACAACATCACGTAACGACATAAACACCTCAACCCTGTTCAGAAGACGTGCGACTTCCCATGCTGCAGAATTCGCTGCCTCTAAAACTCTAAGCTTACTAAGCTCCGACGCTCAGCGAAACCAGCTGATTGTACCTAATTGTGTAAGCCAGCCGCGTGACGCAAGGCTGCCTGTGGCTCAAAAAAAGAGAGAAAACAGCTAGGGTTACGCAGGTTTCGGTCGACCTTTCCATTTGCTAGGGCTCCATTTGGGACTACTTTCGAGCCATGGCTTTGCTCAGCCCGCCGAGCCGAAGTACCGAAGTACCGAAGCGCTCGAGACAGCGCCGCCTGCGCATGGCCTTCAGGGGGTTTCTCTTCAGGCGCACTGACACCTGACGCAAGGCACGGATTCTCTGAAGGCTAGGCCCTCCAATAGAGAGGCTATAAAAAGGGTACCAACACTTTTTGCCGCAGTCGATTTTAGGGGAACCCTACCAACCAAAAAAGAAACGGTGAAAAAGTTGGCACTGGGGGGCCTAGGAGCAGTTTTGCCTTCAGCGGGTCGTGTTGCTGTGATCTCCTGACAAACCAGACGTGTGGAGTCCTGTCTCTTGTTGCTTGGTTGGCCTTTGACGCCTGTGGTTTTCCTTCAAACTTTGAGCCACGATGAAATGGAACCCGGAACTCAGTTGCCCAAGGGACCTGGAACTAAACGGATTACCTTTTGGGGCCGTGACGAGATATGGTTGCCAAAATGGGAAAACCGATCATTTCAGGTCGATTCGCTTTGAACAACTGAGTGAACATAGGTGTCCCTTTGGGGAAAATAGATGGCCCTGGTAGATGATGAAACCACCAGGTAAACCAGGGAAACCCATCTATATTTCGACCAAAACAACCAAAAAGGACACCTATGTGAGTAAAAACATGAGCACACACATGCTCCCGGCTGTCCAGCACCTGAGCACAGGCCGGACTGGCCAGCCGTGGAGACGTGACACAAACGCAAACCAGCATCGAGGTACAAACTGTGAAAGCTGCAAGGCAACACCCACACACTCCACTTGTGTTTCTTCTATTTTCTTCTCAACCACTTTTTTGAGGGGATCCGCTGGATTGATTGTTGTAAGACTAGTTTCTTTGACAGGACCTTTTAGCGCCTGTGAACACTTCTGCTTGGGAGGCTGGGGCAAGGATTCTGGGCAAGCCGTCTACCAGTAATTGCGACCTTTCATCATTTGAAGCCTTTCAATGGGACGTGTGACAAAGGAAGGAGGCAAGGCATCAACAATCAGCAGAAGATTCTAGGCTGGAATTAGGACCCCAGTAAAAATATATCTTTTTTGCCTGGTTAGTGGAAAACAAAGGGACCCCAAAAAAACACAAAAAAGGGGAGCTAATTCTGGGGGAAGTCTCGAGATCCCTTGATATTACCCGAGAGTCGGTGGATCCGTTTATAGTTCGCCAGGCTGAGGAAACAACCAGTGCCTATGGGAAGAGCATCCTTGTCTTCCTCAGGCTTCTTCTTCTCCTCCTCCTTCTTCTTATCCTTCTGGACCTCAGTCTGCCACTGTCGAATATATCCGAAATTCAATATATGGCTGTGTCATTTTTAGGTTGGACCCCCAACTTGCTTTGGTTCCTCTTGGTTTCCTTTAAAACCCACCAAACAACAGGCGCCCCATATTTGCCTGCCCATATTCAGCCTGCCCCCCTGTTTTCGCGAGAACGCTGACCCTCAAGGAACCCACGCCAAGTTGGGCGGTCCTTTTGCCGATCTGCGAAAACGAGGAGAAAACTTGTGGGCGAAAAAGGCAACCCTCTCATCTACCATGGAACCTGACTGAGGGTCCTGGAAGATGGTTTTCCTTAGGGACCGATTCACTGGGTTCCATGGCAACGTGTGTCCTCAAACCCCCTGCTAAAAGTCGAACACTTGTGGGCTAAAAAAGGCAAAATCAACCACTAAGCCAACGAACAACTCAAACACTTCAGGATTCGGCTGGGAACCACCGAGGAAACTAAGCCCAAACGAAACCAAAGCAACAAATGTATTAAATGGAAGACTATTTTCAGGCTACAGGCAGCATTGGACAGTGAGATTCAGCGTCCCAACACCATGACAGTTATATTTGGTGAGCCCGGGAATTCGTGACAGCGAAGTGAGCAAGCAAAGCAACCATCCAAATCGAACAAGTTCCTCCTTACAGTGGCGATCACCGACAGAGCCCTACTGCCTCGAATAATGTAAAACATTGACATCTGGAGCCCCACATTCATCCAATTTAGGCAGTAAGATTTTCACAGAAATCGGGTCACCATGGGTCACCCTAAAGTTCTTTACACATCCGGGTACTGGGGAAACCCTCCGAGCGGTACCATTCTCCAAAGAAGGAAAGCACCGGAGGATTCGATCGTGATCTTTCATACAGGTCCGGTATCTCTCCCTCTCAGACAAGACCCATGCATTAAACCAAACAAATCAATGATACTCCAGAGAACTCTGGTCTAAGGAATTCCCCTGCCGCACCAGGCTTTCATTTCACAGAGCAGAACCTCGATTTTTTTGGGGGGCAGGATCACCACGAATGGGAAATCAAATTCAACGGGACCCGAGAAATGATGTCGAATTGACCAGTTCCAGTTCGCCAGCTCGACCCGACTGGATTTTAGGGGGCCCCACTCAGGCAAAAAAACCACAAACAGCGGTTGCATTGAACATCGCGTATGCTACTTACCTTGTCAAACCCACAAAAAGGGCGGGTTCCTCTCAAAAAGAGAAAGATACCACCTACGTCCTCCAGTAGAGAGGTTAGAATAAGGGTACCAACTTTTTGCTATAGTCTATTTTAGTAGGGGGTAAACCTCCCAACCAAAAAAAGTGGGTGAGCAAGGGCACCTAGCTGGGGACCTAGCTTATCATCCCCTGAAATTGCGGCTTGGATGGTTTGGGGGTTGAAGCCCTTCTTGTAGCAATGGGAAAGCACCCCCGAACCAACCAAGCACTACTGGGGGACCTAGTCTCAAAAAGAGAAAGATACCAACCCAAATGCTGTAGTCTATTTCGGGGAACCCTCCCTCCCAACTTCCCAAACCCAAACTTCCAGACACGGTGACACAGCTCGGGCAATCGCTGGACCTCTCACCACCCAACGACGCGGCACGCCGACGCTCCGCTGACGCCTCCAGTGCCCCGGTGCCCAGATGCCCTCCCGCGCCTCGGAGGAGGACAAGGCCTGGAGCTCCGGGAGCTTCAAATCCTCGCCCCTGGCGCGTCGGGTCCCGCGCGCGAGTCGTAGCCAAGAGGCGACGAGTCGAGGCGGCGACGGGGAGAGGAGGCGACGAGTCGACGGGTGGCCCGGTTTGGTCGTTTCTTGGGATCCGGAGCGTTCCAAGAACCATGAAGGGCTGGGTTGTCTTTTTGAGGTTGCCCTTGAAGACCGGACAAAAAAAAGGGGGAAGCTGAGAACACGACAGAACTGGGGGTCCCCTCTTTCCAGTCATGAAAGTGGGGGTGGGGCAACCACGCAGGCAGCGATTGCCCGGCTGCGGCCAGCCTCTTGGCCGTGGACTCCACTTGCCGTATCTTCCTCTGCTTCTTGGACTTCACGTTTTCTTGAACCATGGTCTCCTGGGCGTTGGTCGCACTCGCACACCAAAGAAGGCTCGGCATCTGCAGCAAAACCCAGTCAGCTTCGGAAGGGATGATACGAGCATATGCGCATGTGAATTATCGCGTAGCGCTGCCTTTGCCTTCCACCAATGGTCAAGGCCGCCCGAAACGAATGATGGCATGTTCAACAGGAACCCTTGAGACGCTCATCCAACTGTGCATAAGTTGATGTGCATCTTGCCCAAGCCATGAACTCGCATCAAACCAATCCGGAAGCATGAAGGAACACAAGTCTTAGGGCCTTCAAGAGCTGAACTGTGGCGTGTCCGGAGCTGAACATCCCCAAGCCACGATTGAAGCGTCCAGCACTTACCATTTGAACAGTTCAAGATTGGCAACAAAGTGCCTTTAAAATCAGGGTCTACATCCATGCCTCTGGATGCTACTGAAAAATTGAGCAAACTGATGAGATCAATCCCAGGCATTTTTTGATTTCCTGACTGGAGCTTTGGCAACAATTCCTTACGCTACTTTTATTTCTTACAAAGTGACGCACCTTTAGCCACTGACTCCTTTGTGCATTTCACACACACACACACACCTGCGGCACCTGCGGACCAGTGAAGCTGGCAAGTAAATTCGGACCAGTGAAGCTGGCAAGTAAACAGCTCAACACAAGCCAGTTCAGAAAACGGGTTTGGATACGCGATTTTTGTGAGGATCCACCAACCTGCGCTTTGTTTTTGGTTTTTGAGTACTAAAAGAGTACTAAAAAAGAAGCTACAGGGGCTAAGAACGGGTGAAATCCTCAAAAAGCGCATCCAAGCCGCTTTCTAGAGTATGATATCAACTTAACTCATCATGACCAGCAAACATAGTAAGCACATGTCATGGTGAGAAGAATAAAGAATCACCCTGCTCGTGAAGCGTGAAGCTTTGGTCGGCCCTCTGTTGCTCGGATGGTTGCTCGTGGTAAACCTAGGTCCTCCAGTAGAGAGGTTAGAACAAGGGTACCCTTTTTCCTGTAGTCATTTTTAGTAGGGGAACCCTCCCAACCAAAAAAGGAGTAAAAAAGGGCACTACTGGGGGACCTAGAAACGTTTCCGCTGCGAGGCACCAGGTTGATCATGTACATCTGAGCTCCGAAGCCTGGTTCAAGCGAGGGGCCGACATAAAAAGAGCAGTCTTGTGCACTGCTCCACATGCCAAATGCAACGCTTCTGAACAAAAACTTTGGGCAGCACAAGAGTTCGGGGTGGTAGAAGGAGTTGCCCAAAAAGTTCCCAAGAACTCAGTCCTGAATGAAACAAATGGCTACAAGGGCCACATTTGTTGACTCGTCAGACCATCACCGCCAGAAGAGGCGAACAGTTACTGGTTGCAAGGTATCTGAGCAATCGACTGCGCTTCTTCAAGAGTAGGTACATGGACGTGCGAACATCGCTGGGTGAGGATTATCGATGTCGGCTGTAACTAGCATTCTCCAGGGATGAATCTAGCTCGATTCTCCCACAAATTGCAGCACAGCCTCCTTTGCAAGCTTGCGTGCCTCTCATGAGGTCAACTAGTACAGTCAAGTGGTTGCTTGTGTTGGTCAAAAGGAAATACCACTTCGGGGAAGGGGGAAGGTTGGCCTCAAATAATTATCTCTCTCTCTCTCTCTCTCGCTTACACGACTTGAATATTGATGAAACCTTTGGGAGCAATGAAACATGGACCCAAGGGAAAACACGAAACTGGTTGACTCGGACTTGGATCTGGGAGATCAGATCATGATGCATAGGCCTTCCTTCGGCTGTCCAACTTGCAGACTTGTTGCTGGAAGGCTGTGGCTTCTCAGTATAAGCTTTAAACAAATGAACCTGCTGAGAACGGAGCAATTGGACATTGAAATGCCTGGCGCAATCAGAGATTGTTCCTGGCAAGTTCCATGAGCTAGTCCAAGGGTGTTCCAAACATGTCATGTTCCGGACATGTTCCCACAAAACATGGGCGGATGATGCAAGTTCCACTGACTTCTGCATGTGTGACTGCTTGTCCGTCCAGCCAGCCGAGTAGACACGCAAACAACTTCTGGGACAGGCTCATCCACGTTGAACGGGTGGCGTGCTTTGAAAGCGGTCGCGTCCCTTGCCGGGCCTTGGAATCGAATGGTCGTCTCCTTCCTTGCCACAGCTTCCCGCAGCTTCTCCTCAGGGCGGAGCAGTGATGACTGACAAAGCTGGGGCCCGGCGCGGTTCTTGACTGCAACACCACCAGGGCAACAGCAAGGGCTGGGGCTGGCGCTCATTGCGGACCCTCTTGTTCTTGACGCACTTTGGCCGCCAGAGTCGCACTTTGGGATTTAGTTAAAGGACAACTCCCGCGCTTCTCACGTTTGTTTTGGCGTTTTTGTTTTGTTGGCCGACGCCCCATGTTGGGAACGCCCGCCCCAAATATCATGTCTGAGCAGGAAGGCAGTTCTTTGAGAGGCAACTCTTAAATAAGGCCTAAAAAAACACATTCGGAGAGTGGATGGCTGGCCTCCAGCAACCCAAGGAAATCCACATAAAGCCTGACAAAGACCAACTGCTTATCCACTCATGGGAGGTGACCAGTTGGCGCCACACCTCAAAGCTTTGTATGATTGGTTGCCATCTTGGCAGATCCTGGCAAAAAACATATGCCGCGCTCAGCATCAGTTTGTATATGGGGATCACTGAAGAAAAAAACAAGGGCCTAATAGACTATCAGTGTCTATTAGGGCCTCACAAGCAAAGGAACCATGACATGGCAAGTGCATCCCATGATGCTGCGTGCCGCCACATGACATTGCCTAATTCGGCAAGTACCAGGGCCTTTCAATGACTACAGCGCGGCCATGGAAAAGCATCGTGTGCGTTACGAGTGAAGGGCAGGGCCAGCGGCGTTTTATCGGGGCCATGGCAATCAAACGCGACAAGTCGCGCCGGGACGCACAGCAAGGTGAGGAGCCCGAATTCCGAACTAGCCCCAGGAATGTGGCTCGGCACAAGCTCAACACCGCGCTGAGCCTAGGTCCTCCAGTAGAGAGGTTAGAATAAGGGTGCAAACTTTTTCTGTAGTCTATGTTAGTAGAGGAACCCTCTCCCAAAAAAGAAACGGTAGAAGAGCACTACTCGAGAAGACCTAGGAGCAGTTTTACGCCGAGGCGCGGTGATGGAGTTGGGCAGTTTCTTCCACTCGTCGTCCAGGTTCACCTCCCAGTTCAGCGGCTCAAGTCCTGCAGCTCAGGCGACGGATGAAACACAGGGCTGTGGTTTAAGTGGAACCCACGAATCTGTGATGCAACAAAAAGGTCCCCCAAAGACCCCGCCATTTAAAGAGGGGATTCCCTTGTACTGTATGAGATAAACCCCTTGATCCCACAACCCTGAAACACATTTCAACTGCAGAAACTTGATGCCGCGTCGCCCAACTCCGCCGGGCTCCGTAAATACACCAAAGAACATTCGCCGAAATGGATGCGGGTGTCTTCACCCGAGGGAAATCTGCGGACGCTGCAAAGGTTGCAACCATTCTTTCGAGATACAGCCATCTCGAGAAGGAACCCATGACTATCCTCCGGCCTTCCCACTCCCAGTAGATGAACAACCATCTCAGTGCCCAAAGTTGGCCTCCAACTTCATATGTAGTTGGTTCTGAGCCTCAACATATATAGTCTAGCATCTACAAACCTTTCCAATCACAGCTACTTGCCCAAAGGATCCAGGAATACAAGGTGAGCACCTTTTTGGTGCCACTAAAAACATACAAGGAGACCCAAACACCTCTAAACATGTGACACCCCTGTTTTGTTGAGTCAAAACTTGAGGTAGGCAAAACCAGGCCACAACCGACAGGTCCGCCCTGGTCGCTTCGCCTGGGCTGCGCGAACCGCTCGCGAACCGCGCCTCCGGCCGTGGACTTGCCGCCCTTCTCGGCGTAGCGCTTCGCGCCAAGATCCTGGCAGACTCGAGAGGAACCCACCACTTCGCGTGCGGAGCAGATAGATGGGTTCCTCTGGTAGATGGTGGATAAAACGGAATCTAAACCAAGCAAAACCCAGCTATTCCCAAGCAAACTCATCTAAACTGGGCTGCCCATTTTCTGATCCCCCGCTAAAAGCTTAACTTTTAGCGGGCTAAATGGAAACTACCTCTCAACACTAAAAAGCTGAAAGGCTAAGGAACCGGATGGCTGGAAGCCACCAAGTAAAAAGGATTCGGTCCCCAGATGGCCTTTCAGCCGGTCTGGCTGATCAAGCCACGCATTTCGGCGGAATAAAAAAACCGGACGTGACGCTTCCAGCGGATGTTCTCCAGCCGTGCGTGCGGGGGCGATGGCGCGCCTTCAGGCAACGCCTCCGGAGTGCAGCGCCAGCTGACACGGCCCTATGTCATCTACCTCACGTCACATTTCGGAACAGTACAGTGATACTGTGGATGGTTGCGAAATCCGCTTCTCGCACCAGATTGAAACCAATGGAAACCATAACGTTTGTTGGTATTTACAGGGGAATCAAATCATTCCAGGGTTTCTTGGGTGGTGCAGGATTTCGTCCATCCACAGTAGATTCCCTTGAAAACCAAAAGGGGGAAAGAAGAAATATTCATGTCAGCAAATGGAAGGAGATTTGGCGCAGGCTGTTTGCACCTGAATTGCTCTCCAGGATCCCTGGCCGGCCAGCACATCCCAAGCGTGCCACTTCCTTCTTCATGACCACTGATCACAACCAGGATGTATCCCTAGGGCACTGAATTGGCTCTCCATTTCCTTGACTCCTTCTGTCGGGGTGCTCAAGTTCTGGACCTTGCATCCACAACCAACCAACCAACCCAACCAACCCAACCAACCCAACCCAACCCACCCAACCAACCCAACCCAACCCAACCAACCACCCGCCTCGCCTCCACGCGCCTTGGCCCGTTTCCCCCCCGCACGAATTTGTCGCGCGCGCCGCATTTCGCGCTTGACCGCGCCTTCCAGCGCTCAAAGAGGACGCAGGTGGGGCGAGAACTCCAAGGCCCGGATTCCTGGCAGAAATCTGCCATTTCGCCTTCAGTCCCCTAGGAACAAATGTGTATATATATATATATATATATATGGGTATGAATTTTAAATTAGGGACCCAACCTGGTGGGATTTATGTCCACCACGCACTGTTCAGGGGGTTCCCCATTTCAGCTTCCTTCCATTTCCCGGTGATATGGCTGTGTGATGTTTCACTGGACCCCCCAAAAAAATGCCGGGGTTTCCTGTTGGTGTCCCTTTACAACCAAACAAAAAAAGGTACCCTCAGAGAAAAGACCAAAAACAGACCCATCTTCAGCTTCCTTCCAATTGGTGGTTTGGAGCCGAATCGGTGGTTTGAGGGTGAAATGCAGGGGGAAGCCCCATCTACCCTCTGCAAGAACCAGGGACCCGTTCAAATCCCAGTTCCCACCAATTCAAACCACCAACTAAGGGTTACCTGACCATTTGCTCAAGTCCCCTGGAAAAAAATATACAATATTTCAAGTAGTGATAGCTTCCCTTTAAAACCAACAAGAGAAAATACACAAATTCTTAAGCAACTGGATGATATGTTCTCCCATCCACATGAAAACCGACAGAGGCACCCCACGCCATCCGCATCTGAGTGGATGGATTCGTCTACATTCACCCATGTGATTGATCCCAACCTACGGGCACTGCGGCCACTCATTCAAATCCAAGTTGCTCAAGTGGGATGCTCGAGGGCGAGGGCTCCTTTCGTTTTTTTGAGGGCACTGTACTAATGATTATTGATTGACGTTGGAAGGGAAGCAAAAATCGAAATTTTAGCAGTGAAGTGGGGATGTGCCACTAAACCGCACTAAGCAAACATGTAAAATGTTTCCCAAAAACAAGCATATGGGACCATGAAAATGGTCTGCACTGCAATGCGCCGAGCGGCACGTGCAGACTTCATCTGCAAGTGGTGCAGCATCTGCGTGGTGTCCGAGAGGCGCAAGCCTTCGTATCGGTAGGCCAACCTCGGAGCCCGAAAAAAAGCGAGCCGATAGACGGTGAGGAATCGAGGAACTAGGTCCTCCAGATCTGAGAGGCTAGAATAAGTTGGTACCACCTTTTTTTCTGTAGTCAACTTGAGGGGAACCCTCCCAACCAAAATAAGGGTACCAACTTTTTTTTCTGTAGTCTAGTTTAGTAGGGGAACCCTCCTCCAAAATCGGGTAAAAAGGCACTATACTGGGGGACCTAGGTAAGCAATGGGAAGAGGCGTATGCTGCATGTAGTCAATCACAAAGCATACAAGCTCTCTTCGTGGGGGTGGGGGCTATTACTTGCAGTTGCCCAGCAGGAACGAGGGAATGACCCCTAGAAATCATCCCCAAAATGTCCTTTCAGGGAATCCCGAGGTTCATTGCCAACAACCGGGAGGTCATTTCCTACTGAGCACAAGGGAGTTTTGCTTGAAAAAGAAGCGCATCAACTGAGGCAATGCGAAGTGCTGCATCATATGATCAGTCGTACTTTCGCTATGCAAATTGAGACACGCATCATGCTTCACCTGCCTGAGGTCGGGGCCAGACTTAGACCCGCCAGAAAGGTCACTTGCTGCTTGAAAGGAACTTTTGGTCAAAACCAAAAGCAAAGGCAAACATCGGCCAGGTGGTATCCCCAGCCCCGCCAGGTATCCCCAGCCCCGCCAGGTATCCCCAGCCCCAGAAACCTCCTGGAACCGAATCTCCTTTTGAACCCTCCTCCGAAAGCTGCCCCAAACCACCCGAAAGCTGAATAGCTTTCGGCGGTTGGGGGAAAACCAACCCTCCATTTGCTTTCGTCCCTAGAAAAAAGAAAAAAACAGACTATATGTCCAGTAGCGATAGATTCTCTTTACAGCCAACAGGAGAAACAACAAACAACATCATGTCAGCAAATGGAAGATATTGTCTCCCATCCACATGAAAACTGCCAGAGGGACCCCCAGAACGGATCCCCCAGTCAGGTTGCATGTGAGTGGATGGAATGTTTCGCTTAAATTCGCTCCTCTAATCTCCTCTACATTCATCCATGTTGAGATTTATCACAACTTAATTACTAAGGGTATTGTGGCCAATACGCTAAAGCCACGGTGAGGCAAGAGATTCGCTCGGCATCCGCTTGGGGTGCCGGGAGGCACGGTGAAGCCGATGAGCACGTCCGGCTGAGCGAACTCCGCCGCCGGGCTGGGCTTGTCCTGCGGGAGTTTGGGTGGCCGAATCGGTTTGGTGGTGCAATGGGGTTCCCATCTGGCTATGGGTCAAAACCCAAATTGTACCCCCAGTGAACATCCCAATCCAAGCACTAAAATGGCTTCTAAAATGGGTGGTGCACCTACCCCAAAATGGTACCATTGGTGTTGACCCACGGCCATCTGCCAAATGGGGGGGGGTTCCCATCTACCCTCCACAACAACTGGGGACCCGTTCAAATACCAGTTCCGACCTGCTATGGCTTACCTGACAAAGAGTTCACCCATAACATGACAACTTCAAGGGGCGATTGAGGATACGTCAGGAAAGTGGTTGGTAAGCCTTCAAAAATAACCCACATGGGAGACTTGTAACTTCTAACCATGGCAAATGGTTTGGATTGGTGGCTTGAGGCGAAAGTTTCACATCTACTCCGCTCAAATCCCAGTTCCCACCAACTTAGGGTACCTGACAGAGAGCTCACCTGTAACATGAGTACAGTACCGGTGTCCAGAAAATGGAGTTGACAGTGTGCATTGCCAAAAACAAACGTCCGTAGATACGAGATTGCATATTTATGTTGGAAGAGCTGCTCTAAGTGTGGGTCTGTACACTCTGGATAAACCTCCCTGCTAACATTGCCTATTCCTGTCCAGGAATTGCCGGACATGCTGGCCGAGACAAGTTTATCATGCTTGCAAAAAAAAATGGGTTAGTGCTGCATCTGCTCCGAGCAGTTGTTGAGCTTCTGAGTGAGTGATTCAATTGGTCCTAGCGCAAACAGCTGCCTCAAGTTCCCACACAGGTGATGAGGTGTCCGTCAAAGCAACGCCCTGTCTTTGGCACAGGGAACATGCATATCGGACTTTTGCAGGGGTCAACGCAGTTGCTCTGAACATTTGGGCCAAACATAGACATAGTTGTTTCTAAAAGGCATTTCCGGCCACTTCTTCACAAAGACCAACACATGCAAGTGAAAACTCATAGCGCGAAAGCTATTCTCCCTCCCCCTACCCCCGCCCCCCCAAACTTAAAGGCCGAACAAAACACACTGCTAAGGTATTAGTGGCTGCTCAAGTCTCACCTCGTGCTTGGTAGGGTAGGGCTTTACAACGAATGTTTAATTTATGCCAAGCGCCTCGGCTCACTAACCACTGGCTAAGTTGCTCAGCGATTACGAAGCGCTTGCCAAGGGATTGGCGAACAACTGCACAAACAGCCGAGCAGCACCCTTCTGAGCATGCTGTCTCTTGGTGAGCTTGCTCAGTGCACTCTGAAAAGGGGGGGCCCGGGGGGGGGGTCTATGATCATAGCATCTGAGCAATCATAATATGCACTGCCAGCCCGTAATTTGGCTCCTTCTCTCATCATCAGGCAAGGGGCACTACAAACAACCAGTCCTGCAGGGAAGTTGAAATTCGAGCTGCTTCTAATTCCTAGGTCCTCCAGTAGAGAGGTTAGAATAAGGGTAGCCTTTTTTCTGTAATTAATCTATTTGAGTAGGGGAACCCTCCCCCAAAAAAAGGGTAACGGGGGCACCTAGAAGCTCACACTAGAGATACCCACCTTGTAAAGTGCAAACCCAGCATTCGACTCCGTCAACGAAGGAATCACGGCCAGACTGCACTCAGAACTCCCGTCAACATTGAAGCAGGGGAATCACGAATCACAAAAACTTGACAAAGAACTCCAGTGCTTGCAGGGAGTGGCCTTGACATATCTTTTTTTCTGGGCTGTCCTCAGACCTGCTAAAACTTTAACTTTTAGTTGGTTAAATGGAAATCCCCACTAAACAATAAAACGCTATCAAGCTAAGGGTGGCTGGGAACCATCAAGTCTTCAGAAGCATTCGGACCTGCTGACCTAACAAAATAGTCGACGTGTCACCAAAGGCCCGCCTTGGCGACAAAGGGAACTGCCAAAAGCCTCCGGCTGGAGGGGGCCTGGCCAGTCGCATGTCAGAAATGGATCATCCGGATTTGCCTCTACGAGATATGGCCATGGGTCAAAAGCCCGTACCCCCAGTGAACATCCCAATCCCCACCAAAAAAGACTAAAATGGGTGATGCACCTACCAACCAAAATGGGATCCCATTGGTTTTGACCCACGTTGCCATGTGGAGAAAAATGGATGACAATGTAGCTGGGTTGGCTGTATAAGTGTTTAAAAACATGGGACCCTTAGTGTAGCATGTCTCCGTTTGCAGCTTCCTTCAAGCCAAGAAATCCAATCCTCAGCCGGAACGAACGAATTGTCAGGAACCTCTGGGAACTATTCCCTCCATGTGCTTAAGTCCCCTGGAAAAAAATGAAAAATATGTCCAGTAGTGATAGATTCCTTTTAAAACCAACAGGGGAAAAAACAAAAAAAACATATTCATTTCACCAAATGGAAGATTCAAGAAACCTTGGCATTTCAGCTCGATCAATTTGATCCCAGGCAACAGGCGACCACTTTTCGGCGGCGAGATAGTCCGCGATTGATTCCATTCCCTGGGTTTTGTAGGTATGTAGCTATGATCTTTGCAGGTTTGTAGGAAATCAAGTCCCTTGGTTTTGTATAGAACCATCTTCCAAGACGTTCCTTTCGGTTTTCAAAGGCTGGTTCGTTTTCCACGTCCATTCCATTCTCCAAGCGAACCAGCGCCCTGCGGGCAGTTTGGCGGCGCCTTTCGGCGGGGAAAGGAAACAAAGTGTTTCAATTCGGGCGCGAAAGGAAACAACCGCAAACAGGGATCCGGATGCATTCTACACCTGAACACTGCAACTTGTAAATGGAGGGTGTCCAACTTTATTCTGTTGAAAAAGAGCCATGTTTCAACTGGTTGCAAAATGGAGATCTTTTAAGGAGCCCTGACAAACCGGGGTTGATTTGACAGGGTTTCGGCTGATCTGCGGGATACTTTTCGCAGTGCATCCATTCCGGCCTAGAAGACCAACAGGCCAACAGGAAATGGCTGGTGACCCACTACATACTTGCATTTGCTTAAGCCCCCTGGAAAAAGAAGCAAGATACAAGAAACAAACAAACAACATCCAGTAGTGATAGCTTCCCTATGACCACAACGAACAAGCTCATTTCCTATAACACCAACAAGGGACCACAACAAAGAAACTCATTTCCTATAACACCAACAAGGGACCACAAAAAACAAGCTCATTTCAGTACATGGAAAGTATCGGCTTGCCATCTTCGTCAGATCCCCATCCCTGGGTCCCCGTGGCTCTCTCTCGCCTTTTCGTTTTCAGGGGTCGCAAGCTCGCGCTCCGTCAGCAGCCCGTACCTCAAAGCGAAGGCCGTGAGATCCTTTCGGACGGCCCGGAGATTTCGGCGCGCCTTTTTTGGAAGGTAACCCCTCCCCCCATTTTTGGTGGTTCAAAGGGAAACCCGGAAACCAAAAGGAACAAATACTGTGTGGGGTCCCCTCAAAAAGAAGACAGACCCATTTGTTTCTGCTGGATTGTTTTAAGACAATAACAAACTATGGCAACATACTCTTCCATTTGCTTAAGCCGCCTGGAAGAAAACAACATATTTCCAGTCGTGCTCGATTCCCTTTAAAACTAAAAAGGGAAAAGTCCAACCTGACATGCCTATGGGGAACATGGTTCTTGCAGTGGCAAAGCCCTATTTGATGCCAGTGGAAGCAAACAGCTGGCATTCCTGAAACGTAGTCCACCGACCATCCACCAACTAGGCTCTGCTCAGGCACTTTGACCCGCATATTAGCACTCACATACTTTGTGTTTCAATAATCCTCTCAGTTTTCCATTTGCAAAGCTGCATGATCGCATGATTAGAGTTAGGCCCAGTTCTAGAATCTATATTTCAGTGTTTGCTTCACTTTGAGTCACTGGTACAATGTAAAATGTATCCTAAGTCTACCCCAGATCACACGAGGGGCGCTGACTGGATCGGGTCTGCGCCTGGAGGGGTGGCTACGGTACCCGCATCCCAAGGCCCAATAAGAGTATGGCGTATTTTTTCGTGGGGTCTGGTCGGTGGCTCCGTTGTGAGAATTAGTTTTTCTATTGGGTTAGAAGGTGATTGTGCGAAAGAGCGAGTTTGTTTCATGCTCATTGTGGCCCCCGGTCGCCTTAGGCGTTGTTCTTTTCCATATCTCACCTATGTAAAACTAGCTTGCCCCACCCTTCTGGCCTCCTTCTCCTGGGAACAAGCAGGGAAAAGAAGACCGGTTTCTATTTCCACACTAGTAGTTGCATTATCTAGGTCCTCCAGTAGAGAGGTTAGAATAAGGGTACCAACTTTTTCTGTAGTCTATTTCAGTAGGTCCCACTTAAGCCCAAATAACAGTACTAGTTGGTCCTTTGACTGGCGCAGTCAGAGGGGAAATGGCAGTGCGAACCGTCCGAGTGCATGTTTCTCTGAGCGACTGGACTCGGTCGATCTTTGAGAGCACGTGCGGCACCAGACTGAACAACCACTCACGACCAAGGGTGAGAAGCTTGCCGATCATGCCGTCCGCCTGAAGCTTGCAAGGCAGCGGCAAGAAGAGCTTCAGAAACCACCACCCCGTGTTCGATCACATGAGGGATCACTAAATGTTTGGCTGCTAGTTTCCATGGTCCTGCTGATTCTACTTCTGCACTTTGCTAAGGTTCAGCGCCTCCAAGGGAAGCCACTAGCAAAGACAATGGCAATCTTACCTGCTTGCAACAGGGTGACTCGACTTCTCCAGAGGAACTGAATCGGAACAAACAACCCTGACCACTTGTGCTTGAACATCCAAACCCTTCCACAGAATGCACACTCCAATCCACAGATCCATGTTGGAAACCAAGATCCATTGCTTGGAGTTTGAGGTGAAACGTTGAAAGGCTTAAGCCAGCTTGTGGTGTGGTACAATCGTCGGCTGCGCAGAATGGCTGCAATCAACAAGCAATCTCACTGATGTCTGTTAATTCTTAGTGGTTCAAATGGAAATTCGAGGTCAAAAGGTCGATTCGAATTGGGGCGCGATTCCCATACCGAGCAGCAGCAGAAGCATTCTCTTGCATGGGCTATGTTATTCTCCCTGCAGACATGGAATTTCCACGAAAAAGAAAGGGCACCACATGAAAGAAAACCAGAAGCTAGGCACATGGCTAAGGATAGCAAGACAGTGGACCTGTCTTCGTGTTAGTTGGCCTGTGTTGGACACATGACATTGGACTCGAATGTCGGGATCCGTACTGCAACAACTTCATGTCATTGGTCAGGAGTATAACGAAGCACATTATCATCCCTCAAGTTGAACTAAACTCTCCATGTCAACACGAAAGGCACCACCGTGATCGAAACCTGCTAACGAACTGAACTGTCCGTTTTCTGGCACTGCAAAAAGTCAAACACTTTTAGTGGGTCAAGTAGAAACGCAGCCACTAACCAACTCAAAAGATCTAAAAACCTAAGGAACCGGACGGCTGGTAACCACCCAGTGAATCGAAGGGGTGTGCTAAGGGGTGCAAATCCCTCCGGCGCCTTTGATTCCACCTTGCTCCTGACGCTGGACTTCAGAAGCTCCGACAGTTCCATCGATAGGAAGTCGCACACGTCCTCCGGACCAGCAGTAAACCACAAGTTGCTCAGTCAAAACCACCACAACTGCGCCAAAGGGGGTGTATCTTTTTGGGGTTGAACCCCCCGCAAAAACAAATGGCCTTTTTTCCCGTGTGTTTCCTGAATACACACCAAGCAAACAAGGGGTACCAACTCAAAAAAAAACGAGGACGCGAACCCACCGGTCCGGTGCGGCTGGCAGTCGCTCAGTCGGTCAGTCGCTGCAGTCCTTGAAGTCGACAGACTCCCGGAACTTCTCGGCCTGCCGATCGAGGAAGCGGTCGGATCTCCCGATGTGTTCTTATTCCGGTAACCTGTGGGACACCAAGGGAAACCGCCCTCTGGCATAGAAGATCACCACCGGATGGGACAGGGAAACTTTTGAATCCGTAACCTGGACATCATTGCAAGGGAAACCGCCATCTGTCAGAAAAGATTAAGGAACCTTGAATCCGCCTGTGGGACATCAAGGGAAACCACCCTCCGGCATAGAAGATTCGCCGGAATCTAATCCGACTGTGGGACATCATTGCAAGGGAAACCGCCCTCCGGCACAGAAGATGATCCGGACTCTGTGTTAACCACGAGAATGGTGGGACACCAAGGGAAAGGACGCCACGGGAAACCACCATCTGTCAGACAAGATTAAGGAATGTTTCTTCTCAACCCTGAGAATGCAATGCGGTGAGGAAGGTGAAGGTGGCTGTTGAAAGTAAGTAGTTCGCTCTGCTTTGCGGAGTCAGAAAAGATGTCTGAATGTAACAACATGAGCAGTTTCAGAACACTTTCAAGGAAGCAACTATCACAGCCTTGCACCTCACAGAAAATGGGCAAGTGATATCAATTCGAGGGAACCATGTGTGGGATGGCGATGCCATAAAACAAGAATACCGTTTCCCATCTAAATGAGCACTCAAGTGGTCTAGCTGATTGGGTTCAACGTCAACCGCAAAGCCTAAATTTCCCTAGCTACAAGCAAATATTAATTAGCATACTCATGCTGGGTGCGCGGAATGTCTGAGTTTTCAAGAGCACTATTTCGTAGTTGAACAGATCACGACTTGGTTCGAAGCCATCCCCAATAAGCAGCCAATTGAAGGGGCCCCACGGCACCCCTCCAAATAAACCCGAGCTGAATGATGGCTCTGGACGCACACAACTTTGATCCTGGCCAGCTTGTTATCCTCGGATCCCAAGCCCTGAAAATTGGGGAGCTGCGTGGCCAGAAGCCTGGAAGCTCTGCGACATCTAAGTCAAGAACAGGGATCTCTCGCCCACTGCCTGGTATGTCGGGATCCCTTCTCAACGTTTGACTGTCTTGCCACTTTCGCAAATCTCGCGGGTGACAGCCCTTTTGCACTACGTGACATGGGTAGGGTCGCCTTCCGCCAGTCACCGTTTGGGCATCAGCACTCAAATGACCTGCTTCCATTTGGATAAGACCCCTGGAAAAAAATGTAATATTTCCAGTAGTGATAGAATCCCTTTAAAACCAACAGGGGGAAATAAACAAGTATTCTTAAGCAAATGGAAGCCTGGATCCTTCACACCGCTGCATACAAACCTCTGCCTCAGCGCGGGTGACGATCCAGCACGCCAGCCACTCAGCTAATGGCCTGCAGGACGCTTAGCTCAAAATGCTCAGCCAACATCCGGAAAGCTGCAAGTCTAGGTCCTCCAGTAGAGAGGTTAGAATAAGGGTACCCATTTTTTTCGGTAGTCTTTTTTAGTAGGGGAACCCTCCCCCAAAAAAGGGGAAAAGTTGGCACTACTGGGGGACCTAGAAGTCATCTTCATTCTTCTCACATTCTATGGCCATGGGTCAAAATCCAAAAATCGTACCCCCAGTGAACATCCCAATCCAACCACTAAAATAGGTTCCAAAATGGGTGGTGAATTCACCTACCCCAAAATGGTATCCCATTGGTTTTGACCCACAGCCCTATGGAAAATTAATGCCGTAGCCAGCGCAAGACGCGCTTTGCCACGCTTTAGCAACCACAAGGAGGAGGCGCGACCCTTCGCCCGGGCGGCCTCCAGGAGGGGCCAATCGGTCGTTTGCGCACATGAGGCACGGTCAAAATTACTTACCTACGGCCGTTTCGCTACATAGTTTGAGAGTCCCCTATCGTTTTCCATCGTTTTCCATGTCATGCGGAAGACCCGAACACACGCACAGGGCCCACGTGTTCGGCCCCCGCTGCATTCCCCGGCTCTCGCATTTCTTGGCCTTTTCCGAGCTTTTTCACGCTCATGGCATCTATTCTTAGAGATCACGCACGGGTGCATGCAGTATTCGAGAAAGCTAGCGCATTTAGTTCCTGTACTACGGAAGTCCTTGTGGAAGGGACTGCTCAATAAGCCCTCAAACGTAGCTATTGGTTGCTGGAATCAACCGTTCCTCTGATCAAAGCCCAAGTCCGCAACTTTGCCTTGCCCCACCAAGCTAACAAGAGGGCCACTGCGTTCACGTGAACTTGCAAGGGAAGGCACGTTGCGAACCGACGATCCAAGCAACTGCAAACCACCAACGAAAGGATTCCTTGCTCCAATCACACACGGACCCACACACGCACGCACACACACACACACACACACACACACACACACACACACACACACACTGTGCCAACATGCTCAAGCTCGTGTCAGCCTTCCACACCGTGTCGCCTCCTACTGCTCTTGCGAGGCGCCGCGAATTCTCATAACCCCCACGAAGCTCGCTCTCGATTGCCAATGGCGGGAGCCTCGACGTTTTGCTTAAGTCCCCTGGAAAAAATACAAATATGTCCAGTAGTGATAGATTCCCTTTAAAACCAACAGGGGAAAATATAAAACATTCTTAACCAAATGGAAGCACAGTGTTTCAGTGACCACAGCGTCCCATGCTCAAAGCCAGCAAAAGAGAAACTTCCTGAGCTGCAGCTCAAGCACTGCTTCCTTCTGGCTGCAACTGGTGGTGCTTTTTGGCTGCCTATGAACCTACTACTTCTGGCAAACGTGAGACGAATGCCCGAATGACAATTTGGATCCAAAACCAAGGCCCTCACTTTGTTTGGCAAATTTGCGTAACAGAACCCCCCCCCCTCTGGATGGAATCTGTTCGGGATGTGGTGAAGAAAGAGTGGTCATTTCGCTGACCTTGTGTCCAAGAAGAATTGTCAGACAAGTTGCTCATTTTGAACAATGTGCGGTTGGTGCATGCGCCGTTACCCCAGAAATTAGAGAAGAACATGTTGTCAAATGAGCAAGGTCTAGTCAAGCGGGCCCTTTCGGAAAAGAAGTTCAGACAACCGGCGACGGTGCAGCCCCATGTCCGGCCCACTTTCTACATGCCTCCGGAGGTTGTTGTCGTACCAGGGCCGGCTAAGAAGCACCAAATGCGGCTGCTTCTGCAGAGAAAGCTGCTCATAGCCTGTCCCATCTTTGCAATTCTTTGGGACGTGTATCTTGAGGTAAATACGGCATGTAAAACTGGTTCTGCAAACCCATGCAACCATGACCTTTGGCGGATCAACGGGAAATGGAAACCCAAGAAGAAACTAGCCAAAGGGGAGCCACGCCGAACACATACATCAGCCTTTGACAGAGGCTCAGGACACAAGTGTCCCAAGCCATCATCCAATCTGCAAGATCCAACCGGGCTTTCTTACTAAAACTATTGGACGTGCATGACATGAGTTACAAGCTGTGCCATGTTGGCAAACGAGGTCAATGAGTCAATGAGTCAGGAGCCTTTGTCACTAGACGTTGCTCGCGAACAGGCTTTGGTTGTGGCCAACATGCGACGTGAAGCCAATGGGTACCAACGTATATCCCTCAGCAAACATATTTCGATTGGGCTCCCTAGCATTTGTATCTGAAAAAAACAATCAATCAAACCGAGAAACCAAGAAACCAACCAACCAACCAATCAATCAACCAATCAACCAATCAACCAACCAACCCACCAACCCACCAACCAACCAATCAGTCAGCCAATCAAACCCAAACCTCAGAATAAATCTGCTGAAGCACAGAAGAACCGGCCAAAGGAAAAACAGGAGTCGGGCGAGGGAAACGTCCAGGTCAGTTAATCCAATGCTTTATGGTGGCCTTCCATTTGCGACACGCCCCTGGCAAAAAAACAACATATTTCCAGTAGTAACAGGTTCCCTTCAAAACCAACAGCTGAAAATCAAAACAAATATTCGCCTCAGCAAATGGGCATGGCTCTAACATGAGACTTTGGGCACCAAGCTTGGTTGCTGTTGACCCCCCTCCAAAAAGTTGATCACTTTTTGGGGGGTTTAGTACGGAAAACCCAACCTCATTTCAACCAAAAAGTCAAAGTCTAAAGATCCCGTTGCCCGATAGCAGTCAAGAAAGTGGCAGGTGCATCAGGGAAGTGGTGATCGTAAACCTGGTAACCCACCAAAGCCATGGTCATAAGAGTCTAAGAGGGCTGTAACCAGGCCAGAAAAAAAAGGAAAAAACACAAACTAACCAGGGCTGTTACCATGGTTGTAAGTCTACTAACCACTTTTCAATCCAGAAAAAGAAAAAAAGGGGGAAAAAAAAAACGGCCGTCAACCGCATCCGAGCGCCAATGACGTCGTCTCGGCCTTGAAGCACGATCTGCGGGATCCGCTCCTCCAAGTGGCAAACGCAGGCCGTGGCGTCCTCCCCGACCTGAACGGAAGGGCACCGGAGGGTGCTGAAGGGTTTCAGATTTTTTTGTTTTAGGTCCTCCAGACTTGAGAGGATAGAATTAGTTGACCAACTTTTTGTTGTAGTCTAGTTTAGGGGAACTTTTTTCCCTAGGTCCCCAAGATCTGAGAGGTTAGAATTAGTTGGTACCAACTTTTTGCTGTAGTCTAGTTTAGGGGAACTTTTTTCCCTAGGTCCTCCAGATTTGAGAGATTAGAATTCGTTGGTACCAACTTTTTGCTGTAGTCTAGTTAAGGGGAACTTTTTTCCCTAGGTCCTCCAGATTTGAGAGTTAGAATTAGTTGACCAACTTTTTGCTGTAGTCTAGTTAAGGGGAACTTTTTTCCCTAGGTCCTCCAGATTTGAGAGGTTAGAATTAGTTGGTACCAACTTTTTGCTGTAGTCTAGTTTAGGGGAACATGTTCCTTAGGTCCTCCAGATTTGAGAGGTTAGAACTAGTTGGTACCAACTTTTTGCTGTAGTCTAGTTTAGGGGAACTTTTTCCCTAGGTCCTCCAGATTTGAGAGGTTAGAATTTGTTGGTACCAACTTTTTGCTGTAGTCTAGTTTAGGGGAACTTTTTTTCCCTAGGTCCTCCAGACTTGAGAGGATAGAATTAGTTGACCAACTTTTTGCTGTAGTCTAGTTTAGGGGAACTTTTTTCCCTACTCCAGATTTGAGAGATTGGAATTAGTTGGTACCAACTTTTTGCTGTAGTCTAGTGTAAGGAAACTTTTCCCCCTAGGTCCTCCAGACTTGAGAGGATAGAATTAGTTGGTACCAACTTTTTGCTGTAGTCTAGTTTAGGGGAACTTTTTTTCCCTAGGTCCTCCAGATTTGAGAGGTAGAAATTGTTGGTACCAACTTTTTGCTGTAGTCTAGTTTAGGGGAACTTTTTTCCCTAGGTCCTCCAGACTTGAGAGGATAGAATTAGTTGACCAACTTTTTGCTGTAGTCTAGTTTAGGGGAACTTTTTTCCCTAGGTCCTCCAGATTTGAGAGGTTAGAATTAGTTGGTACCAACTTTTTGCTGTAGTCTAGTTTAGGGGAACTTTTTTCCCTAGGTCCTCCAGATTTGAGAGATTAGAATTAGTTGACCAACTTTTTGCTGTAGTCTAGTTTAGGGGAACTTTTTTCCCTAGGTCCTCCAGATTTGAGAGGTTAGAATTAGTTGGTACCAACTTTTTGCTGTAGTCTAGTTTAGGGGATCCCTGCCAACCAAAAAAGGGTGAGAAAGGGCACTACTGGGGTTCTGAGCATAGGTGGCCTTTTTGGAAACATTGATGGCCCTGGTAAATGGAATAAACCGTCATCTAAACCAGTGGCAATTGAGTTTTTAACCAAACTTATGCTTCTGAAGGGTTTCATGTTTTTCCGGATTTCTCTGCGGCTTTGACAATTTCGGCAGGAAACTGACGAAAATCTCAAATGCTATCCAACTCAGCTCAACAAAGTCTCTAGTAACAAGAGATCTGCGCCAGAAAAAAATCTGCGCGGGACTCCCTGGACCATTTGCTTGAACATATTTAGCAGGTTCTTTTTGCTCAGCTCAAACAGGGGCAAACACCACAGCATCCCGAAGCAGCAAATGAGCAGAGCCCAAAAAAGGATTAACCTAGGAATGCACGAGTCCTTGCAGCTTGAACGGAGGGCTCAGTTGTTCAGTGACCCTGGAAAAAAAGGATGGGAACCCTTTTTGGGGCTTGGACCATTTTTCGTGAGGCAGCCACCAAAAAAAAGGAAAATCATTGTTGCCACTGAACAACTGAGAGGGAAGACTTCAAGTGACCGAACTCAGCCATTGCAGTTCTATCCCAAAGACATTTCACAGCGTCTCGGCCGAAGGGATGGGACGGCAGCGATTGTCTAAGGGTTTTTGTATTACCTGGGAATACACCCACTGGGTATTGACCCCATTTGGATCGCACATTTCCGGATAAAACCGTGTTATATTGAACCATTCTGGGTCATTTCCCAAGGGTGTAATCCCAGGGGGATACAAAAACTCTCACAGATTGTGAGAAAACATGTGCCATGAGAAGGCCTTCAACTAGCTGTTCCGAGCCCTTGTGTGGTTACCTCTGGCAAAAGCTGCCCAGAAAAAAAGAAAAAGAAAAAAAGGCACCAGCTTTTGTGGTGAAAGTTTCCCGGTGAAAGCCGCCGGACACAAACAACTCGCTTCCTGAGTTGATTGGCCCAAAAAAGTCCAAACTTTGTGTTTACCACCAAAATGGTCTTCCCAAAAAGTGACTAAAGTCCATGAACTCAGGGAGTGAGACAACAAAACATAACAAAACTGCGGTGGACGGTTTTTTCCCGTGGAACACATTCCCTTGCTTGCACCGCTCATGGTGTTTTTATTCCGAGCCAGGCGGAGCGCCCCGCCTTGCCGGGGCAATTCCGCAGCTCTGGAAAGAAGGTGCCTGACCCAGCGCCGACCGCTTAACCACCAGGGGGCCAATGCAAAACGGCCGGAACCGCGGGAATCCCCAGGACCTCCACAACTTAAATCTCTGTGATCGCTGTTTGCTGGTGAAGCACGCGTTGCGTGTGTTTCTTTTACAAGGCTAGTGCGTTTCTTCGCGGAGAAGCGGGGAATGAACACTCTCCAAGCGCCCCGTCCTTCAGCTTCTCAACCAACTCTAAATCTGAAGCGCTTGCTTGCGATCTTCGCGAAAAGCTCCAAGTACAAAAACATATTGGCTGTGACCAGGTGACAAATTGGTACCAGTTCAACCCACTAATTCGTCCCAGATTGTGTTTCCACTTTGCCCGACATGTTTTTGTCTGCTCCAATATGCTTCAACACGGCTGGTGTGCAATTGACAATCATATGCTGATATCCGCCGACCCCTGCTCCTGAAAGGGGGAGGCGCACGGGAAGGGTGCTGCGGATGCGTTGCCACGATGATAGTTATCATCACCATTGGAGATGCAGAGGATGCTACGATGCATCATCATCATCATCATCATCATCATCATCATCATCATCATCATCTGCAATCTTTTTCATATCATTATCATTATCATCATCATCATCATCATCACCACCATCATCATCATCATCATCATGCTGATACGTAGTGGTCACCATGTCTTTGTATAGTATACATTTCAAGTGTGGCGTTAGAGCCCATTGGTGATGCAAAAGATGCGTGGACATGATTATCATGATGATGAGATTGGAGATGCAGAGGGTGCGTAGTCATCGTTATCAACATGACTGTTGGTGATGCAGAGGATGCACGATGATGGTTATGCTCGATGATGATAACGGTGATGATGACGATGATGGGCGACGGCCATGATTAGAGCCGATTGGAGATGCAGAGGATGCGTAGTCATCGTTATCATCATGACTGTCGGTGATGCAGAGGATGCACGATGATGGTTGTCATCGATGATGATAACGGTGATGATGAGATTGGAGATGCAAGTCATCACTATCATCACGATGATGGTTATCATCGATGATGATGACAATCATAGGCGACGGCTATGATGAGGATCCTTATCTTTTTCATATACGATTCAAAAGTGCTGTTAGAGCCGATTAGTAGGTGCGTAGTGATCGTTATCATCATGACTGTTGGCGATGTAGAGGATGCACGATGATGGTTATGATGACAATCCTTTTATCATCATTATCATCATGACTGTTGGTGATGCTGGTTATCATCGACGATGATGACGGTGATGATGAGATTGGGGCGCGTAGTCATCATTAGCATCATGACTGTTGGTGATGCAGAGGATGCACGATGATGGTTATCATCGATGATGAGAACGGTGATGATGACGATGATGGGCGACGGCTATGATGACGATCCTTATCTTTTCTATATACGATTCAAAAGTGCTGTTGCACGATGACGATGATGATAACGGTGATGATGAGATTGGAGATGCAGAGGGTGCGTAGTCGTCATTATCATCATGACTGTTGGTGATGCAGAGGATACACGATGATGGTTATCATCGATGATGAGAACGGTGATGATGACGATGATGGCACTGGGCGGCAGCCCTTAAATAAATCTATAGTAATATGGCCATGGGTCAAAACCCTGTACCCCCAGTGAACATCCCAATCCCCAATAAAATAGACTAAAATGGGTGGTGCACCTACCCCAAAATGGTACCATTGGTTTTGACCCACAGCCATATAGTCTTATTCCTCAAATGCCCAGTGGCCATGGGAAAGAAAGGGCATCCTCTTTTGTTTAGTTGAGTTTCAAGAAGAACCCTTCCCCACAAAAAAATGGAAAAAACGGCGGAAACCACTGGGCAAGTGGGCATTCTGACTCTGAACATTGGACACTTCAGAGGTCCCAGGCTCATTATGAAAAGCTAGACATCGCGCCCGGTTGGAAAGGAACGAAAACGCCCCTTGCTGTTGGAAAACGAGACTCGTGGCCATCCTCCGCTCGCAATCAGCCCAAGACACCGTGCAAGAGTTGCAAAGTCCTGGACCGGCGCATGGCAAATGGAACCGAGGCTCACGCAATTTGTGTGGTGAAACCATGTTGCGATGTCACTATGTTCGGAAGCCCTCAAAATTCACAGTCCAGAAGTAACACCTTGCAGAACCCCGGGGTTGTTGCAGCCTCTCCCCCTTTCGGCACCTGAAGTGCTTGAAAACCTTGAGCCACCTCTTCAAGTTGGCCCCGTTTTTTGGTTTTGTTTCTCCCCCAACAGCTGAAAGCTAAGGGGTCTCAGCCCAGATAAGGTTTGGGGGTGGCTTGGGGTCAGGTTCAAGGCAGGTTCCAGAGGTTCCGGGGTGGTCTGGTGCAGGCCAGGTGTAAGGTTCAAGGAAGGTTCCGGAGGTTCTGGAATGTCTGGTGCAAGGGCCAGGTGTAAGGTTCAAGGCAGGTTCTGGAGGTTCCAGGTGGTCTGGTGCAGGTCAGGTGTAAGGTTCAAGGAAGGTTCCAAGAGGTTGCGGGGTGGTCTGGTGCAGGCCAGGTGCAAGGTTCAAGGCAGGTTCCGGAGGTTTCGGGGTGAAGGCCAGGTGTAAGGTTCAAGGCATGTTCCGGACGGTTCCGGAGGTTCCGGGGTGGTCTGGTGCAGGCCAGGTGTAAGGTTCAAGTCCGGAGGTTCCGGGTGGTCTGGTGCAGGCCAGGTGTAAGGTTCAATGCCCAGGTGTAAGGTTCAAGGAAGGTTCCGGAGGTTTTGGGGTGGTCTGGTGCAGGCCAGGTGTAAGGTTCAAGGAAGGTCCGGAGGTTTCGGGGTGGTCTGGTGCAGGCCAGGTGTAAGGTTCAAGGCAGCGGGGTGGTCTGGTGCAGGCCAGGCGTAAGGTGAAGAACTGAAGTCTGAGACGCAACGAGCAGACAAATCCTTGACCTTCAGCGCCTAGCTGTTGGGGATACCACCTAAGCTTATGTTTTAACCCGCGCGGAAAAAAAAACAACGAAGACCCGCCGAAAAGAAAAGATTCGCCTGCCGCGGCATGGCCCTCGTCGTTGAGGAAGAGCGCGTCCAGCAAGTGGACAGCCAGGTTCCAGCGCTCGCAGCCCAAGTCGTACCTGCGCCGGCTTTGGCGCTTTGGGCTGAGGCCTGGGGTCGAGAAAACGGCTTGGAATCCCAATCTGTGGATCCACTCTGTAGGACTTTCAAGCACTACAAAAAACGGGGGAAGAGGTGAAAATCCACGAAAGGCGCATCCAAACACACACTGGCTTGATTGTTTTTGGAGGTCTTTCCCCCCCAATAAATCGCTGCGTCGAACAAACATTGTGCGCTATCGCAAAGGCAAAGGGAAAGGCGCATCCAAACCGTTTTCATCCTTACAAGTCCATCTGAGCCTTGGAAAATGCCAGGTACTCGGATCCTCTGGGTTTCGCGGGGCTGATCTACAAAGAATCCAGCCTGAAAGTGCCTTGGCCCCCAGCCTCTTTCTCACAAAAAAACAAAAAACAAAAACATATAACCCCCATGGGCTGAAGGGGGAAAAAAAGTCTACCCCCATATTTGTTGAAAAAAGGTGGCCCCCGTGGTTCTACCAACCCTCCACGGTTCTATGAATCTTCCATGCCAACATGTTCTGACAAGCAAGCCAGGCATTTTGAGCGCCCGAAATCAACATTAGTTTACTTGCGGACACTGCATTTGATTGATGCGTTCAGCAAGTGCTCAACATCTTGTTTCACCGGGACGTCAGACGAAACCCAGCTCGTGTTTATGCCCTTCCGTCAAAGAATCCCTAATAGTATCCCCGCTAAACGCAGGCCCTCATGAATCAACCAGGGTAGGGCACTGCCCGCAGCGAGAACAACTGGGCTGCAGTTTGCTTGACCGGTTGCCCTGGGGCCCTGGGAGAAAAGGAGACCTGTTTTGGGGGCGAGCGGGGAACCAACCAAACACGAAGCTAGAAAGGTGCGATGCAAAACTGGGGCTTAGGTACAAGAAAGCCAGCCAGAGCTCGCTTCAGCCAACGTGAGTGCTGGTTGTACACACGTCACAGACTAGCTTGATTCCATCGCAGCAGACAGCAGGTTTTTGCCCCTGGTTCCATTTACCAGGGCTTCATTTTGGGTACCTATTTTTGACCCACAGCCAAATGATGACTTCCAGAGACATGCTTACTTGTCCTGTCGAAAGGACCAAAAATGCCAGGGACTCTGGGCTGCTAGCCCTTCGTTCCGGTCGGCGCTCCAGAAGACTGCTAACGAACCGAGCCACAAAATTGCGTGACCTGGGGGTTGATCAAAAGGTCGTTCACCTTTGGGGAAAACCCACTCAAAAAATGATACTGTGGATGGACGAAATCCTGCACCACACCAGCAACCCTGGAATGATTCGACTCCCTTGCAAATACCAACAATTACCCAAATTCCCATGGTTTCCAAGTGGTGCGAAATGGATTCCGTCCATCCACATTATGTCCTATTAAATTGGACAAGTTACCCAGCCTGCCAGGCATTGGACCCTTTTTCGGCGAAGTGAACATGTCCCAAGCCATTCTGGGCTGACGTTATGGCACATGTTCGTAGCAGGCAATCATTTGCAGGGCGAAATGCTAAGTCAAAAATTTGGGGGAAATCTCAAAAGGCAACAGTTGTCATGGAGATCTCCAAAACGCTGAATTTGTGGAAAAGCCAACCGAAACAAACAGACACATACAAAGGCGCGGATGACCTCTCATCTGTCCCGATTAGAAAACTGAAGGCACTGGCAAAGAATCGAACCAAACCACTGAACCCCTGAGTCTTTCTTTGGAGTCAATACCCCTGTTTTGTGGTCCTAAAGGGAAGGCCAAAAGGAACACCAACATTTTGGGCGGGGTCCAACCTTAAAAAAGACACTTGCCATACCGTGGATGGATGACACACCTAAGAAACCCTGGAATGATTCGATCCCCCGACGAAAAAAAAAAGAAAAAGAGAGAGAAACAAAAAAAAAACACGACAAAAAAAAAGACACAAAAGCCATGGCTTCAGCCGTCAATCCGTCCATCCCGCCCATGTTCCATGGGCACATTTCGAAGTTGCCGATGGGAAAGTTCAGCTCCGACTTCAAAGGGTGCAAGACGAGGTCCACCTCACCAGAGGCGTTTTTGGATGGGATCGGGGGAATGAAGCGGACCGGGAGTCCCGAAAGGAAACCGGGCTGGAGTCCTGGAAGGAAAAAGCGTGGCCAGGTTAGGGGTCGTTCCATGTCTCATTTCCTGCGAGATTAAGCAAGTTAGAACGCATTTTTGTTTGCTCTTGGATTCAATGGAGGATTTTTGGCATTTGGCCTGCTTGGCCCTTTGTGGAACACATCAACGCTCACAAGCACAATCTTTGCCTGTAAGTGCATTGATAGATCTGCACACAGCGTCCGGAAAGATTGTGCTCATTGTGCTTACTCCTTCGATCTGCAAAGAGCGTTTGAGAGAATCTTGACGGTCAGGACTGCGGGCAAAATGTCAAAAAGTAGACTGTGCGGCCTGCAGCTTGCATGCGTGAGATGAGACTAGGTCCTCCAGTAGAGAGGTTAGAATAAGGGTACCCTTCTTTTCTGTAGTCTATTTTAGTAGGGGAACCCTCCCCCAAACAAGTTGGTTAAAGGGCACCTAGCTGGGGGACCTAGGAGAAGTCCTCTTCTTGGACCAGCCCACACCATGGATAGAAAACCCAGCGCATCGAGTCCCCAACGTAGTCGATAGCCCGGATCCGCAAGTTTGACCCGCCTCATCAATCAGCGCGCAGCTGTTCTTGCGAAGCATCCCCTGGGCGAAATTTGTGAAAAACCACGGACTTCTGTCGCGACTCTGCCCACACTCATCTGGTTGATGCCTGGCGGCTCCTGTGTTTGCTCTTTTGCTTCTCGTCTCACTACCGGTCCAAGTTGCCTAGACATAAAATGTGCACATTCTGAAAACAAAAATGAAGGCTGAACACAGACCAACCCTAGTCAAAACTTCTGGACTGATGAATGGCATTCCATCTCCTGCTCGATATGCTCTTCTGCCTGAGCAGAAGATCTGGCTAAAGAGTGTGGAGTGGAGCTGAGCATAGGTGATCCCGGAAATGCCACTAAGGCATCAGTGACAGACAAAACGCAAGAACCCCAAACACAATCTAGATCCCATTCGGACAGTCGTGCAAACAGGATTTGCTTGTTCAACCAGCCAACTTGACACCTGTGCTGGACAAACATCTTCAAAACAGAGGTTCCTTGTTTCTCCTACAGCCTTTAAACTTGCATTGAGAGGATACTCAAACATAACAGCAGCCACCGCGTAGATGACCCTCACCCACAGTGGCATCAATCTGGGGCTACATGCAAGCAAACACTACGCACATGGAGCCGGGCATTGACCCAGCAAACCCTTTGCTTCATTACTGCCTTAGGGTTGATGCATTCTTACAGCCAGGGGATTCTAGAGGGATGCGCGAGTGCGTTCGAATGTAGAGAGCCTCTATCGAGTTCAGTGTTTGGTTTGTAGCGTATAGGTTTGCAACGAAATGATCGCAGCGATTTTGAGCTAGAGTCCCCTATCGTGTTCGTGCGTTTAAGCATGTTAAGCTATACGGATGGCCAAGGGTACACGTTGCGCTTCCTTTCTTTTGTGACAGCGATTCATATCGTGACTCGCCAACTTCAAGGGCCTGAATCAGAGGCTTCTTGCTTGCCTGGCTGTGAAGCAACCGCTTCCTTAGCCAACTCTTATGTTGCTTGCCTCCTGTCAGACTCATCTCTTTGCAGAACAAAGGCCAGAGCAGCTGAAACCGTTTTGAATACATGGGTGTGGGTCAAAAATAGGTACCCGAAAGGAAACCCCGGCAAATGAAACCAAGGGCCAAAACCCGCGGTCCCCACCAGGGACTGGGACCTGTGGTCGCCTGGCGTCACATGCTGTGCTGGAAACGCGATGAAGACTTCCTCGACATCATGATCGGATTTCGGGGGGGCATCGCATGATTCTCGTTGGATGCTGCCCTACTTGAGAAATACCACTTGATTTCTAGAACTCGTCCACTGAGCATGTCCCGAAACCGGGCCCTGTGATTGAGAAAACTTCACAGCAAACAGCGGCGAAAGCAATCCACTCGCCGGGCGGCCAAGACATCGCCAATGAAGCCCGCCATCACGCGATTGCCCTCGATTTCCTCACAGGGGAGCAGATAAGACATAACACATGCAAGCAGAGAAGCCAAAAAGGACACATGTGTGAGCCAACCGCCATTAGTTTGTTCCCAATACCGCAATTTATGGCAGCCACTTTCCTGGGCTCAACCATGATGTTTACCAAGCCTAGCATCAATTTGTTGCGGTCATGTTGCCCCATGCATTTTGTCCTGACAATGCCTGAGTCCGTCATATGCCATACATGAGCTCATTCGCCGCTTGGCTTCGGGTCGCTCTGTCTGGTGAATGGGAGAGACGCGACCCTCTCTGTCTCCCCTAGAGCATGCTAAACAAAACAAAACAAAACACAAGCAAGCAACCAAGCAAGCAAGCAAGCAAGCAGGCAGGCAGGCAGGCAGGCAAGCAAAGCAAAGCAATTCAAAGCTAAGAAAAACAAAGCAAAGCAAAGTAAGCAAAGCAAGCAAGCAAGCACACACACACAACACCAACAAACTAGTTCTGCCCGACACGGGACAATATTTATGTGTTTTATTGTCCGAACATTTCGAGGAGTTGTCCACCATCTTTTGTCAGCAATGGCAATGCGTGCGCAGGCCTTGTTCACGTCCTCCATCCGCTTCTTGATGCGTGTCTGCGACACTGCATCCCGCCTTCCATGGGCTGAACGGCAACCAGCCTGGCGGGAGCAAGAAGCAATGTGCTGGGCGTGGTTGTCAAAAATAGGGTAGCCCCACAATGGCTTGCCCTTGTAAGTGGAAGCATGGACTAAAACCCGTGGTGGTGTTTTAGTTGGGTGTGCGTCAAAGATAGGGTAAAATAGTGAAACCCCACAATGGCTTGCCCTTGGTGCTTCACCCGCTTGCTTCTGTTGCCAGGTGAAATTCAAAGCTTGGTACGTGATCGACTCTCCTGCCTTTCACACATTCCTTGCAACATGGAACCACAAGAGGGGTCCTCAAAACTGAGTTTCCTGTTCTGGGCTGCCCTCAGATCCCCTGCTAAAAGCTCAACTTTTAGCGGGTGAAACGGAAATCCCCACTGAACCCTAAAAAGCTCAAAAGCTAAGGAACCGGGTGGCTGGGAGCCACCAAGAGAAATAATCCTTCTTCTAGCGGTGTTTTTTTACGCAATCTGCAGGTATCTCCCCCGGCCCACCCGTCAATTCCGGCTCCGAGTGCCAAGTCCACGCCCGTTTGCCGCGACCAAATCGCACTCAGGCTGGGAACTACCCAGTGCCAAATGGCTGTGGGTCAAAGATAGGTACCCAAAGTGGAATCCTGGTAAATGGAAACATGGCCCATACCCAATTGGTTGCTGTAGCATTTAAGAATCGTGTTCTACTGTCAGGACGGTTGGTATCCTGTCAGCCAAGGGTCATGTTCACACCCAACGAGCAAAGTTTCGTATGCGTACTTGTGAGGCGGGTGGGCGATCAACGCCCTTGGGCTGCCTGGTTTGGTTTGCATTTGTCGCTGTGGCCCCACGTCACTGAAACAAAATGAACATTCCGAAGCCATGAAAGAGATTCCCGGAGGCCCCATCTAAATATCTAACTGTAAGACTTTGATGCGTTCTTGACTTGTGACTGGTGCTTCTTGTCGTGCACAGCGTCGCCCAGATTAACATTCTTTGAATCTTCAAGCGCGATAGGGACGGCATCACAGCCTGGTATGTCAACGTATGTCAAGACAGGTTTGTCAATATGAGCGCACAGCTTTGGCCATCTCAACGTTCACCGTTTCCTGCTGGCGGCTCTTCGTATTTCGCCCGGTGGCGCACTCGGACCTTCCCCTTAACACTGACACGTGACAGTGACTGAGTGACCACCTTGCCCAACAGGCTGGAGTCCATAGAGACCGTTGCCTCCATGTGTCGCTTTCTTCTCTGTTTTTGTTTTTTTGTTTTCTCCCGCAAAAGGGTTTGAAAAGTCCACAATTTCCCCAAGACTGGGAAATGGCAAAGGGAAAATTCGACAACTCCCAAGACTGGGAAATGGGGAAATGGGAAAAATGGGAAAAATGAAAAATCGGAAAAATCGGAAAAATTGGAAAAATCGGAAAAACTGGGAAATGTCCGAATTTCCTAAAATCCACGTGGGAAAACTGAGGGTTGTCAACCGAACTCCCGCGCCACTGGACTCCCGTGACCCCCGTGAAAACACGTGTGGAAGCCAGGTCTTGGGTTGTCCCCAAGTCTCCCCAAACTACCCATGGACTAGCAATACGGAGCTGTCTTAAAACAGGGAAACCAACCAAAGATGGTTGTTTCTATCTTTTTGACACAGCCTCATATTTTTTGATCTATTTTGGGTTCTCCTCTTTGTTTCTATTTTTGACACAGCCCCAAAAAGATGGTACCCTCAAAAACAGACGGACACAGCCCCAGATTGTCAGTGGCTCAAAAAACGGGTACCAAAATGGAACCCTGGTAAGTGGAAACGTACCCCCCTTGGTCAATTTTGAGCCACACCCAGATTGTCTGTGACTCCAATAGCCTTGGGCATCTCCGCTTTGTACTTCTGCAGTGTCTGGTTCTGCAGGTGGTTCAGCTGAAGGAGCTCCAAATGCCGCAAGAACATCGACTTGATCGCCTCACGCCGCGCCTTCCGGGTAACTGGAGGCATACGTCGGCCCCTCATACTGGCCCCACTGCTTTACAATGATCAAAGTCACCCCCCAAGTGGTAGGTTAAAAGGAAACCACCATCGAGTTTCTGACTTTTGTGACCCTCAGAAATGGTCCAAAATAATGAACCCAGGCATACGTCGACCCCTTCTTGCACCCTCGGTACATCAAGATACTTGGGCCCAACGGGGCAGTCACAACAGCCGCAATACCGTGGGTGGACGAAATCCTGCACCACTTTGAAACCATACCAAACCATTGTTTGTTGGTACTTACAGGGGAAGCATCACCCCAGGGTTTTTAAGGTGGTGCAGGATTTCGTCCGTCCACAGTAGCTCTTGCTTGGGATGTGCGTGTGACGTTTCCAGGCAAAGGCAACCTAAATCGAAGCAGGGCCTGAATTGGGTCCCTCTGGCCTGGAATGCGTTGGATGCTTCCGTGGCAAGACGAAGGCGTTGCCCAGTCCAACGCAGTCCGCAGATCTTGTGCAGTTTTTTGCTGGCCCAGCCACCAAATCAAGGAGAACTACTGTGGATGGATAAAATCCTCTTAGGCACCGCCGGGGAAAAAAAAAGGCACCGCCGGGGAAAAAAAAAAACTGGGGTGAGTCGCTTCCCCTGTGAATACCAACAATCGTTATGGTGTGCTACGGTTTCAAAGGGGTGCGAGAAGCGGACTTCGCAACCACCCACAGTAGGGCCAGGCGCCAAAGCAACAAAACACCATGTACAGGGTGCCAAAAGCCAAATGAACTTCCAGGCCAATGCGCAGCTCGAAACTCGTAAAACCCCGTGCTACTAGGTCCAGTAGAGAGGTTAGAATAAGGGTACCCGATTTTTTTGCTGTAGTCTATTCTAGTAGGGGAACCCTCCTAACCAAAAAAGAAACGGTAAAAGGGCACCTAGCTGGGACCCAGTGCTATGCTCCAAGTTGCAACTTGCAACTTGTCTCAAGGCGTAGGCTCTGAAGGCTTTGCTCAGGAATTGGTGGCTATAGTAAGTCCCGGTGGGCTGTTGGAAGGTTCTTGGAGATTCTCTTGGGCTTTTGTTTGATCATTTGAGTCATGATCAAAACCCGGTATTAACATGGTCGACCCAGAACCATGTAGAGAATTCAGAAGGCGGCCGCAACTATTTATAGCCTGCATCTACCCAGGTTTTGATTGTGGCTCATTTCAAGCTTGCTGGAAAACAGCTCCTTCGCCATGAAAACTTAAGCCGAGTGTGAACAACTGTGGGTGCCCCAAGAGAAGTTCGGTCGCACCGCCTCTTTTGGATGTTTTTTTTGGGAAACCCACCAAAGAACAAACCTCGAGCGAGCTGCCGCAGGAGTGGTGCACACCACAGCCGCATCCCTTTGGGCATCGAAGAGCTGTTGCCTCACCAGCTGCACATCATAGGGGTCGTCCTGGCGAAGAGCCGAATGGGCTTGAGCTAAGCAATGTGAGGGTGCAACTGTTTGATGCTGTGTTTTGTTGGGGGTAAACCATGCAAAATGAAAACCCGGATTTGTGGGGAGTCTTCCTATTGTGACACATGCCAATGTGTCAACATGACCCTTGGTGACATTATTCTAAATGACGGCGCTGTCGGTGTAGGGGCCCTGAAATGGAGAAAAAAACAGGTATTGCACGGGCCTGTGCAAATAGACAAAGCGGCAAAGAGGACCTGTCATTGGCTGCGATCTCGCAAAGAAACATTTGCTAAAAGTGTGTGGCCGTGACCCAAAAAGACACTGATGACTCTTGCGGGCATCCAGCATTCCTGACTGCAACAAATGCCCTAAGCCATGGTCATGCGCACAAAGGTCACGAGGAAGCCTACAGCCAGCCGCCCGTCCTGGCCCATCATGCGGGTAAACTCCAGGGTCACCACGCGCTTAGCGAGGATCTGCCCAAACATCTTCCTGACAGGTTTCCACATGCGCATGGTCAAACTCCTTTTCTAGGTCCTCCAGTAGAGAGGTTAGAATAAGGGTACCAACTTTTTTCTATAGTCTATCATAGTAGGGGAACCCTCCCCCACAAAAGAAATGGTGAAAGGGCACTACTGGGGGACCTAGTTTGGGTTCCTGTTTCGCGCCGCCTGTGACGGCCACGGCGACAGCCCCCGCAAAGCAACCATCCAAGCAAGAATGGAGTTGTCTGCTGTCAAAACATCAGGAGTGGTTGATTTTGGGGCCCGTGCGGGTGTGATTCCCGATAGTTAGGCACCAAGCCCCTCAGAAGTTGAACCCAAGCTGCCGCATGACGTTCCGCGTCTGCGCCAGCAGCGCCCTGGGCACGATGTTCACCACCAAGCGCCCGTCATTGCCCAACCTGTCCATGAAAAGAAGCCAGCTCAGGTGTCCAACGGGCAGTTCAGACTCAGGCCGTTGACATCTCGGTTGTTCAGTGACCCTGGACAAAAAGGGAACCCTTTTGGGGAAAACCCTTTTTAGTGGGGCAGCCACCCAAAAAAAAGAGGAAAAAGACTTTGGCTTGGCACAACTAGGTCCTCCAGATTTGAGAGGTCAGAGTAAGGGTACCCGATTGTTTTATCTGTAGTCTATTTTAGTAGGGTTCGGAACCAAAAAGAAACGGTGAGAAAGGGCACCTAGCTGGGGGACGTAGACAATTTGAGCAACCCTGAGGACGAGATCTAGAGGCGATCAAACTGAAGCATGAGCTCCAAGTCTGCCCAGTCCAGTTTTGCTGTATTGTCCTCAAGTTGCGCAACAAAATCAGTCGGCAAAGCACGAAACAAAACAAGGAATACAATATCCTACCCCGCTGGCTGGATGTGTGGTGCTTGAGTTCGTTGGGATTCTGCTTGATCCAGTGCTGCATTGGTCCAGGGAACCTCCTGCAAAACATGTTCTTTTCAATCGCTTCTGTGGAGTCGTGCCTTGTCATGCCGCGTGTCTTCCAATTCAAACAGGGGAGCAACGCCCTGCCTCCAAGAAACATATTCTGGTCACTTCAGGGTGTAGTCTTTGTTGGCCGATTAGGCAACCAGTGTACTATGTACTATGGAGCATACATCGGAAGCTGACCAGCCGCAATATATATATATATACATCATATATGTAGCCGCAGTCGGCAAACGGCCACCCCCCCCAATGCTATACCCCAAGCCACCGGAACCCAAGGAGAAGCCCACTCCTAAACCCTAATCCCAACCAGCCCTAAACCAACCATAAATCCACCCAAAACCAACTCCTTTGCGGCTGGGTACCATGACAAAGAGCCAGGATTCGAAGCAAGCAGTTTTAGCAGAAACATGCATTGTTGATGTCCAGGCATGAGCGTTTGTTCTGACTGTGTTTCGCAAAAAAGTGGGATATGCAAGTATATTACTTGTTCTAGACTGCTCGATCCGAGCAGCGGGAAGGAGAGTCCTGGGTGGCTTGCAAACGGCATGGAAGACACTGAACCAAGAATGTTCGCTGTCCTCAGATCGCCTGCTCCAAGGCTTAACTTTTTGTGGTTTCAAATGAAGGAAGATGAGATCCAGAGGGCTTCCCTCAGATTCCAACATAGTTCTAGGGGTACCTTCCCCATTCTTTCCAGGGATCCGTTTTTCTTTTCAGGAAACCATCAAAAACCCGGGGGAAACGGGAAACCGGTTTCTGAAAAGAACGATGGTTGAAAAGAAATCGAACAAGGAGTCAAACCCCTAGAAAAGTTTTTAGACAAGGAATCAACCCCTACAAGTAGAATAGGTTTGCACGTGCCCGGCTCGGCTCTGCTCCGAGCTGCAGAAGCGTCAGCATGGGTGCGATGCAGGTCGTCTTGCCAGCTCCTCGGCATGGAGTGATCATTTGTTTCTGGCCGAAAGTGGCCCGAAAGGCGCAAAACAAACCCCCCTGGGTGTGGCTCAAAATTAAACAGGAGGGGCAAACCGCAGGTTTTGGCCCATGTTTCCACTTACCAGGGCAAGCCATTTTGGAATTCCGGTTTTTTGAGCCCCCTTTGACACTCGTCTAGGTCTAGGTCCTGTGGAGAGGTTAGAAGAAGGCTACCGATTCTTTTTTCTGTAGCCGATTTTAGTAGGGGAACCCTCCCCCCAAAAAGAAACGGTAAAAGTTGGCACTACTGGGGGACCTAGAAAAGGTCAAAAGGTCTTTGGGCAACTGAGCTAAGGAATGCAATGTTAGCATTCACTCGCCACAGGTCAGGAGTTCAACATGGAAGGTCCCATGAGCTTGACAACTGAACTACGGCGAACAAAAAAAGCAGCTGGGCTGTCCTCAGATCCACTGCTATTTTTTCAACTTTCAGTGGGCGAAATGGACACCCCACCCCGCAACTGACCCAGAACCTAATCCTCCATTTGCTTAAGTCCCCTGAAACAAATAAACATATTTCCAGCAGTAAAATCGATTCCAACTTTAAAACCAACAGGGGAAAAAAACACGTATTCATTTCAGCAAATGGGAGGTAGCAAGGAACCACACCCCACCCCTAAACTGACCCACGACAACTGAAAACCTAAGGAACCAGACGGTTACTAAGAACCGCCTACGCCTTCCATCAGAGGCTCCCATGATCATCTGCGCCACCAACGAGCCGCCTTTGTACGCCTCCTCCGCAAAGCGACGGATCAGAGTCACCTGCGCAAATGGACACGGGGAGATTGACGTCATCTGGCGAAATCTGGGTCAAAAAAGAGGTACCCCTAGAGTCATCTGTCGAAATTGGGAGGGGGGGCAATTTGGCAGGAGTTTGCTTCTCCCTTTCAACCAAGGCGAAAAGCTTGAACAAGGGTACCTCAAAACGCACTCATCCATGGATCTCTTGAAAAAGACAACACCTTCCCCAAGATGCGCAAAACCCAGACAAGTCTGGAGCCACCTGGCTCTTGCTCCGAAGCTACAAGCCCCTGTAGCCAATGTAAGCCGAGCCCATCTGAATGGACTCAAAAACAACAATGGTTGACTGTACGGAACCTTAACTTGTCTGAGCCCATTAGCGGCCCAGGAGGTTTATGAGCAAGCAGCATTGCGCTTGTGGAGCAACCGCATGTTTCTTCAACGCCAACTGTGTACAGCAACCTCTTGGAGGACTTCTCTTGTGGTAAGTGTTTGGGGCATTGTGCGCCTTTTTCAGGCTGCAAGTCTGCGAAGCGGACAACTCAGCCGCCTCTATTGTTGGTTACGCAATGATTTATTGACTCAATCTTTGCATGCGGGGGGGGGGGGGGGGGCTGGGTGTACAGCCACCAAACTCTATCATTTCACTTGTGTCGCTGCTTTATGGCTTTAGACCTAGCTTTAAACATGGTGGGATGACTTGCTGCAACAAGCTGCTCGGCATTGCAATTATGGCGCGCGGTAAAACAAAGACAGCATCCGCAAAGGATTGTGCACGATTAGTTGCTGCGAATTTACAATGCGCCGCATCATCAACAATCCAGAGTCTGAAACGGTATTGCCCACATATCCTCGTAATCATCGTTGCTTCATCAGCAAACAAGACATTGTGAGTGAAGAAACCTCAACTAGGTCATGCAGTAGAGAGGATAGAATAAGGTACCCGTTTTTTGTGGTCAATTTTTAGTAGGGGGGTTTCCTCCCAACCAACTAAGAAACTGTGAGAAAGGGCACGTAGCTGGGGGACCTAGTCAAAGCACGATGCCTTCTGAGCACAGCATTCCTTCGCCTCTGAGATGTGTGCGCGCCGTGGAGGAAAAGAAACGGCGTATCCTTGGCACCTCAAAACTAACCCGTCTTCCAATTTGGTTGGTTCAGTAGGGTGCTAATAGCTCTAAGAAGCTCTAAGAATGCCATGCTGTACCGGAAAAAAATGGGAGGTGGGAGTATGCCATGAGCAGTGGGAGTAGGAGGTGTCCCGCAGACTGTTTGCTGAAGTTCCCGTTTGTATCTCCCCCGGTGTTTCTTGCTGAACACAGCCAAGGTTTTACTCCGAGTGGCGAGCCTTCTGACCCAAGGACAATTCTGATTGATCGGCTTATTTATCCATGCATTTGCCAAGATGGGAGCATGTCAGCAGTGCTGGCAGGCCCAAACAGGAAAAAAGGACAAGTCCATGAGACCTGTTCAACCCACCTATTACAGTTCCCCAAAGGGATCCTGGGTGCATAGTCGGCCAGGTATTTTGAAGGAGGACGCCAAAAGGAATTGGCACCTGCCCGTTTGATTGGGCCTCAACCCCCACATGCTGGTGGGCAGTGATTCGACGACAACGGCACAATCACCATCCCGCGCGCATATGACCGAGGCCTTCTTGGTCGATCGAATTTCTGCCTTAGCCAAAACGACGCCTGGCCCGGCCTGCTGCTTGCGAACCAGGAAGCCGGTAACATACTCGAACCTCGGATTTTGTTTGCGCCGATACAAGCTCATAGGCGAGCAACTGCTCGCAGCATCCATGTTGAAAGACAACATCCCCTATTTTGGTTGACGTTGGAAGGGGAGCAAAAAACACAATTTTAGCAGTTAAGTGGGGATTTCCCACTAAACCACAATAAGCAAAAATATAAAACGTTTCCCAACAACAACCATGCTATCTGGTGACGAACAATGATTATGATCACGGTCCATTGGGTAAACTCACCAGGGAAGCTATGGAAGCAACAGTTGGCTCTGGAATGGATCGAGCAGACAAAGACATTGAAGACCGTTCGACGGCTTCAATGCCTGAATCTCCGAGCCTACGATCGCCTGCGTTTCTAAAGTTTGTGAATGCTTTAATGTTGACCCCGGACTAACAAACCCCTGTTTATTGATATGAGGGTGTTCCCCTCCAAAGGTGGTCTTAATCCCCACCAAAACCAGGGACACCCCCATCTAGAGGTTTATTAACTTGGGGTCGACATTCAGGCTTTGCGCTTTCTTCTCTCGCAGTTGTCTGGTCCTGAAGAAAAATGTGTCACAGTCCACAGTTTTGGTTCTCCCTTGTACCAAGTGCTCGATTGGTCAGGTCGCTAGAATGGTGTCCTTTATCAACACCGCAGAATACCAACGACAAGACAAGGAATCTGGAGATCCGGATGTCACAAAAGGAAGGGCGAGGACTTAATTTACGCTCCCACCGACTTTCACATTGAACCTGACATGGGGGGGTCCTGGAAGACCATTTTCCTTTCAAAGGGACTTCCTGTCAGGTTCCATATGAATTGGTGGGAGGGCAAGACTTTGCAGGCCAGCCTCTCTTCGCCCCAATCCCAGCCCTGTGGGTGTTTATGTTTGCCAAACCCTTTCGCCTGACCGTCCGCAACAACCAGCCAGAGTTCCCAAGCAATTACATAGGAAGCTTTGTGTGGCGAGATAGCCCAGGCTCTCTCAAATCGAGCCACTTTGTTTGCACATATATGTTTTACATTACTCAAGTTGTCCCCGTTCCTCCCTCTTGGCTTTTCAAGCCCCTTTTCCGCAAAGCAGACACAACGAACATGGCCCCTCAAGACGCCCATCCCAGAAACCCGAACGTGGCCCCTCAATGACTCAAGACGCCCATCCCAGAGACCAAGCCCCTTTTCCGCAACGGCCCGTCCCAGAGAAACAGAACACGAGTCCATGCGGCAACCGAACCCCCCGAGAAAAGGATCGAAAGAAAACCTATGGGAAATCCCGCGAGAGGCGATCGCGAAAGAGGCTCGCGAGATCCGAGAGATCGCTTGCCAGGAGGCAGGAGAAAGGCCGGGGAGATTTGGGGCTCCTCCTCCGTATAGTTCCGCTGGCAGCCCAGGAACACCGCCAAGCGGTTCCCAAGGCTGGCGAGTTCCTGTGGAGTCGTTCGCACGTTCTTCGAATGATTCGGACTCAGCGATTTTGCAGCGACCCCTTCGCTGGAACAAAGGAACACTGGGCCAACAAAAAACCACTGGGGTGGAAACAAAGGGCCCCGAAAAAAAAAAAAAAATCCTGAAAGAACCCATATAATCACAGAAAAACGCAGGCTCAGGGTGACCTGTTCTGAAAAAGACTGGGGTCACTTTTGTTCACTCCGGGTCGTGGATCTGAGGGCGTAGAGCCCCCGCCTGCGGCTTTGGAAAGCATCAGCAGCTTGCAGTGGGAATTGGGATGTTTCAGAGTGGCGCAAAACAAAAGGCTCGAGATGATTTCTTGTTTCCCACTTGGTGCAGACGGGGGAAGAAAAAAACGCGACTGGCAAACACAGAGAACATCTCGTTGGCACAAGCTGGCGGAAGGGGAGAACGCCGGCTTCTCAACCTGCTTCGACCACTTTCGGTCATGGTCCCCGAAGGTTTTTCTATTTCCCCAGCTTGGACAAAGGTGAAATCACCTGCTTCAGGCCGCACGGCCGTCTAAACTCGGTTGCGAAATCTGCGAAGCCCTGCTAAAAGTGACTAACTTTTAGCGGTTTAATACGGAAAACCCATTAGTTGGCAAAAAGTTAACGTCCTAACAGCCAAGCAAAATGCACCAAAGTAAAGGAGAGGGAAACCCACCAAGCCACCAGAGAACCCGCCTCGCTTGTTCAAATACCTTGCGTTGTTTGCGCCAATGGCGCGACCAGAATCACCCGGCCGCAGAATCACTCCGAACAGTGGGCAAATTGAATTGGCCTGTGCCTATGCGCACTATGCGCATGTTGAACCTATCAAGATCTACTGCCCAAGATGCCCAAAACCAGAGAAACTTGCACACCAAGACAGGTGCTCTCCCTTTTCCCCAGGTCAGCTGGGAAAGGCGCGTTTCCATTTGAGGCACCAGTGACATAATAGCAATTCTACCGATGACTTGTGATATGCGGGTCTGGGTCAATATGTTTCACCACCAACCCCAAGTTGTCTCACTCCCTGAGTGGATTGGCCAAAAAACGTCTGAACTTTCTTCTTTACCGCTAAACTGGTCTCCCCCCCAAAAAATAAAGTCCAGCAACTCAGGAAGTGGGTTTTCGTCCACCAAGGTTTCCATTTCGGGACCCGAATTGTTGCCCCACAGCCATGTCCACCACGGGCTCGGATTCCCCGAGTCCTTGCATGCGACCTCGTCCACCTGCGTCGTCTGCTGCACGGTTTGTCGCAGGTCCTGCAGCGCCCCCAGCACCAGCTGGGCCTGCGCCACACCTGGCGGCCGGCGCTAGATCGCTAGATGCGTTGCTTGACTCGGGTGAAGCTCAGGGAAGATTCCGACGAAGCCGCAATACATCAATTTCATTTGCTTTCTCGTCCCCCTGGAAAATATAAAAAAATATATGTCCAGTAGTGATAGATTCCCTTTAAAACCGGCTCTAGATGCGGTGTTGCTTGACAAAACAACTAGTGCCATCGATGTTCAACCATACTGACCGATCCAAAGGACACCTATGGCTGCAATCAGCACAATCACCGGCCAATGAATTGAACACAACCTGCTTGAATACGGATAGCGGGTGACTTTCAGGGAAGACTCCAACGACGAAGCCGCAATTACTAGGGGCTGTAGATTGAATATCTCCAAGGATACCAATATTGAGGATCTAGATTGAGGATATTGGGATTTGCTCCTGAAGATTCACGCCAAGCCCATGAAGTATCACCAACAGCATTGGCCACAAATTGGTCCTCAAGACGCATGTCGAAAAACAAAAGGCGTGCTTCAGGACTTCAATAAGCCTGCAAAAGACCTCAAATGTTCAAACAACACCAAGGCAAATGCGTGTCTCGGTGCAAGTAATGGGAGCTGTCATTGGCTATGCCATCCCTAATCAATTATTGGGAATGCGAGGCCTGAATCTGCGAAAAAAAGGAGATGCATTTAGTGACGAGATTGCTTAAAACAGAGCTGCCTGCAGGCAACAAGGTCTGTCTTGCCTTTGGGAACCCCAAACACCGCCAAACTACCAACGAATTCCGTCTCCAAAGTGCCCCAAAGTCCTTGTCGATGAAGACCCCCAGCTACCGTGGCTAGAAAAAAACGTTCTTTGGCAGGCGCACAAGAAATGCTGGGGTGGCCACAACTAGTGACACACATTGGGGAATCAAGACGCGGAGATGGCAGCAGTCAATCCTTCCAAACTCAACACCACTGTGCCCGTGACGACATTTCCTTGGTTGACGTTGGAAGGGGAGCAACAATTTAAATTTTGGCAGTTAAGTGGGGATTTACCGCTAAACCACAATAAGCACAAATGCGAAATGTTTCCCAACAACAACCATGTTTCCAGCATTGCAAGGAGCCATTCACCAAGGCTTCCTTCCACGAGCCAGAGGCTGGGCCCCTGGCCCGCTAGACTGCGGACAAGCCACGGCAAACGTAGAGCATCAGGGTCAAGATGCCTTTGCCCACGTCTTTGGCCATGCCCCTGTCCACTACCTGCCGAGCGATTTCAGAGTGGAAGGTGCTGACATAGAATGTCTGACCCCACTCTACAAGTCGTCGTTGGTTGCTTGGTTAGACGTACCATAGCCATAAATACATTGCATATTGGTTCAAGTGCTTCTTTTCACATATAAGGCCAAGCAAAGACTATTCGTCTTACAATAGAGCATCGTTTCCCGCAGCTTCACAGTGGCGCATGTTTCGCTTCCTGCCCTCGAGGCACCTTGTTCACGGCAGCGCAGCAGCCCTCGAAGTGTCGCTCGTTGTCCAGCTCCTAATGCCGCTTTTCAACCCGCACCCCAGCACTCCCGCGACCAGAGCAAGCCTCAACCAACCCTGAATCAATCCTAACTTGAGCAGAAGGAACCCGAACCCACGAAAACAAAGCTGAATGAACCCTGAACCAACTCTAAACCAGCCCTACCCCGACCCGAAACCAACCCTAAAACCATCCCAAATCAACCCTAAACCAACCCAAACCAATCCTAAACCAACCCAAACCAATCCTAAACCAACCTTCCATCACAACCCAACCACAAAGACCACAGGGGCGAGGGGGGGCGACCAGTATGACCTATGACGATGGGTGAGGGGGGGGGGAGCGAGTTAGGGACGCTGCACCCTGTATGGGTCTGTGCTTATGTTTGAGGGTCCGTTTTTGCAGGTTTTAAAGGACACGCATACATAAGGAAACCCACCATTGGGGGTGGTGCCTCAAAAAGAGCCACACTCATATACGTGGATCCATAAATTGCCCAAAAAAGGAGTTCACCTATGTTTGGAGATCTTGGAAGCTTCGATTTCATAGCCGAACTGAGTGTGGAACTGGGCATAGCTTATCCTCCTGTCCACTATGGAAACCTCCAAATGGTCCCTTTGAAAAAACTATAGTCTGCAGGACCCCGAAACGTCAACCCATTTTAATGAGAAAGGTATCCTCAAGATCGTTGGAATACGTGCAGCACAAATCTGGCAATGGCTGCACCTGCCCAAGGGGTCATTCCCTCATTCCCTGCTGAGAGTTCTCAGCCCCCAACACGCCGATTGCTCCAAGTGTCCGCGCCCACGCACCATTCCAGCCAGAGATGCCCTTCGATGCCTCCTCTTCCTTGGCCGAGTTGAAATGGGAGTGTCCGCGCGAAAACGCGATTTCGTAGGATTCCGTAGATTTCAGGAAACAAGTGTTCGAGCCATCCGGTAAATCATGGAGACGTAAGAAGGACATCCATGCTGTACCAGCGCGGGTCAGCGCCGCAAAAAGAAGCGTGAAACCAAGTTTTCAATAGCACCCCTTCCTTCAGAATTCCGGTTTCTTCGGGGTATTTTCAGTAATTTCAGGCAGCCGCTAGTGTCTAAACCTGAAAAGGACAAAACAGGCATCCAAAACAGCAAGCCCCACCCAATGAACCCCCTGATATAGAGCTTCCCGAGGAAACAACGTGCTTCAATAGTTCTCCTTCCTGAAACGGTTCCTTGGAGCTATGGGCAGGCGCTTCTGCCAAAGCTCCATCCAGTGCCAAATGCCAGTACAAGATCCAAAGATCAAAGCACAATAGGCTTGGTTGACGTTGGAAGGGGAGACAAAAAAAATGAATTTTAGCGGGTAAGTTGGGATTTCAACCACTAAACCACCACAAGCAAAAATGGGAAAATGTTTCCCAACAACAACCATGTAGGCGCCCCCCGTAGTCTCCAGGGCACTTGGCATACGTGAGAAGATCATGTGGTCTGGCAATAAGTCCTGCTTCCAGATCTGAAAAGTTGAAGTCCCGGCCATTCGAGGCTTTCGTGGAACTCTGTTGGCGCAAAATCCGTTCTGAAGCCGCTCAAGAGGGCGCTTCAGCTCGTGCTTGGTTGGATTTGGGGCCATTTCTATGCTCAATCACAACAGCAGCAACACAAAATAATTGCTTGGTGGCATGGCGATTGTTCCAACGTCCTGGACGAAGCTGCAAAATAACGCCTGTGCTCTGGCTTGTGTAAGGATTTACACTCGTGTAGCGGGGACCCTAGCCTAAGACTAACTTGCTTCCCCCACTTCAAAGCGAATCCCATGGGTAGCACTAAACACTAAACAGTGGCAACCTAGAACCAACCATTTCCGTCACAACCAAGTTGCTTGCCCTACTTTAAAGGGAATCCCAAAAGGTGGCAACCAAAAACCAACAGGCAAAATTGTTAACACAAATACTAATTTCAGCAAATCAAAAAGAAATAGCCATACAAGTAAAACATAGTCATTTCAGCAAATGGAAGAACATCAGCCATGTCCCACAACCCTGGCCTCATATATTTTACCATGATCAAAGTCACCCCCTAAGTGGTGGGGGAAAGGGAAACAGTTTCATGTACTGACTTTGATAGTTTCCAGACACCGTCAAAATGACGACCCCAGCCACCCGAACCAAGGATCTGCCGAGCCAGAAGCGTGTGCCGTCCCCCTGGTCTGCCGCGGCCTCGTCGGCTTTGCTCAGAAGCTCCCGTCGCAGGGAGACCACTTTCCTCGGCTCCAGCGTTCGCGGGGGAGAGGAAGCGGGGAAGCGGGGATGTCCGCTCGGATTCCCGGGAAAGGAAGCCACCTAGAGTCTCCATGACCCTTAAACAATGGGGGCATTACCCGAAATTAAGGGGTCATGTACCCATTTTTTAAGGGTCATGGAGACTCCAGGCATGTCTTAAACAAAAATATCCGAAACAAATGCCAACATGTGTTCTTCCCCCGCATCCCGGCGTGTTTCTTTGTCTGATTTGAGGTACTCTTGGCAAAAAAAGGAGGACTGTTCGCTTCGGGATAGCCTTAGTTTGCGGTTTGGATTGGGAACTGGGGATGTAAAGCGCTGGTTGAGGTAAATTTGGGACACCACGCCTAGCCACCGGTCACCAGGCTCCAAACCACGGACTCGGGTGAAGCCTGTTGGCGTTCAACTAAAGCTAGGGAAAGCCGAACAAAAGCCATGGGCGCAAAGACAACCTGGCTGCTGATTGTGCTTCTTCCGTGCCAGACCCAGCCTGCATGACAGGGAGACCAAAAGTAAACATGTAAACCGAGAAGGGTGCGGAGCTGTTATTGCTGTGCAGTAAGCTTGTTCTTACCAGAAATAGTTACTTGCTCGAAGAATCGGTTTGAGTTGGTTTGCCGCGTCAGGGATAGGGATGCAAGAATAGAAAGAGCTGAAGATTGCTTGCAGAGGATTTTGTTTTATTCCCATGAGTGGTGCACGCAACCATGCGTGTTGCTAAAATGTATGGTCAAACCATCCGTGTTGCGAAACAATCTGCGCTCTGCAGAGCTGGTGGGAGCGCTCCCACACGGCACGCCAGCTTGCCTTTTGGAGACACGGGTGCGAGTCAGTTGTGCGGGTGTTTGTGTAAACATTCTAACTCTGATTGAAAGTAGTGAGTCATCGCCGCAATGGAACATGTCACACATTCGCCCAAGTTTCCCACACCTTCTGCTGTTGATTCTCACGTTCTTGGGTCCCTAGTCGCTTTGCCAGAAGTCATTTTTCTGACTTGAGTCGTTCGTGCACGGAACCACTCGTCCATTCGGACTCACTCCGGTATGCACCTTTGCTGGAGTCACTGTCGTGGGCATAAGCTTCCGCAAGTTGTTGTCAGAAGCACAAGCAAGCATGATATATGCTGCAAGAGATACGAGAACATCAAATACAAAAACTGACCTTGACAATAGATAAGGGGGGCGGGGCCTGAAAGAACTCCCTGCTTCATTTGTTTCTCGGCAATCCGCAGTTCCAGTTGCGACGAGCTTCTGAAGATCACTGGACCAGCAAGACTTCACCTCTTCTTCCAACCTGAGTCACTGCTTTGTCTACAAAGCACAGTTCTGATCGGGGGCTCCTTGAGAGAAGCCTGAATCAGGGGACCAAAAGCACAGCTTCACGCAACGTTGAAACCGTCGGCTGTTTCAACTTGTTTCAACCCTGCTATTCGCCAGAATCTGATTTGTGTGCATGGAGCCTTGACCTTTGAAGGCTTGTCACCTGGACGTTGACATGTGCCAATGACAAACACAATGGCGGTCTTTAGTCTGGTCGAGATGGACAAACTCATACAATTCACTTCCTGAGTGGATGGGCCAAAACAAGTCCAAACTGACTTGTTTGCCACTAAAATGGTCGTCTCAACAAGTTTAAAGTCCATGGGCTTGCAGAAGAAACCACTGGGAGGTGGGAGGCGGATAGGGCCCTGGTCAAACCGCAAACCGTGCCGTGGTCAAGCCTAGTGGTTCAGTAGCCATAGGGTAAACAGGACCCCTCTCGCCTTGGTCACCTTTAGTGGGAAAGAAACTCGTCAAACCAGGAAGGGCGCCACCTTCTACACTCCACAACTGGGCACATCTCCAGCTACACTAGCATCGGTTCAATGTTGGAATATCTGAGCAGCGAGTTCACGCAGAATCCACTTGGAATCTGTGGCAGTAGTAGGTTAAAATCAAAGCCTATCCCCTACCCACCCACCTCCCCCCTGCTTGCCACGCATCCGGCCACGCTGTCAGAACCCCGGCCGGTATAAGTTCCGCAGGGGGTTCAAAGTCGTACGACTTTTAGTGGCTGAAATCCGCAAACCCAACCACCCAACCAAAAACGACAAAGTCAACACAAATCATCACAAATCTGTTTTTTTTCTGGCTGGGTTGACCCAAGCACCAAACCAACTAAAAAACCAACCAAAAAACACACACACACAAAAAATAAAATAAAAATCTGGGCCGTTCTGGGCCGGTTGAAGCCACCTCTACGCTCAACCGGCCCTCGGCCCCCTTGGGATTTGTCCGGGGCTCCCGGCGCAGCCAGTGCCGTCAGGGCCTCCTTCAGGTCCCCCTCCGTGGGAGCAGGCGGCAAGAACTTCAGGCCGAGGCCTGGACTCCAAGCGAAAAGGTCTCCCTTAGGTTCGCGGCGACCCCCTTAATAGTTGAAGTTTATAGGATTAGGTTTTTTAAGCTTGGGCTTTTTAGGTTGGGGTTTATAGTTGGGTCTCCATGTTACTTCTCAGCTTGGGCTAAACAAAGCAACCCTGCACTTCCTGCACTTCCTGCACTTCCTTCACTTCGAGGTGGTGGGGGGGGGGTCCAGTTTCACCCACCAAAATTCCACCCAATTCCAGGGTTTCACTTTTTAATCAGCCCAAGATTGACTTAAACCTGGGGTCCTCCAGTAGAGAGCTTAGAATCAGTTGGTACCAACTTTTTCTGTAGTCTATTTTAGTAGGGGAACCCTCCCAACCAAAAAAGGGTGAGAAAGGGCGCTACTGGGGGACCTAGTCAAGGTGGCGGGGTCGGGGTCCAAGTCCACCCACCAAAATTCCACCCAAATATTCCAACTCCACCCCAAGGGGAGGGGGAAGGAGGGGGGTCCCCACAAAAGGGAAAAGGGAGCCATAAATGGAGTGATGCGAAAGTGCGGGAAACTGTCAAGTTGACCCAGAAAGACCGAATCGAACTCAGAAATGGCCATGCGTCAGAATCCCGTACCCCCAGTGAAGATCCCACCCCCACTAAAATCCCGACCAAAATGGGTGGTGCATCTACCAACCAAAATGGGATCCCAAAACGGTGTTGACCCACAGCCAAATAAGTTTTGCTTGGTCAAGTATCAACAAACACAACGCTGGCGTCGGAAGGTTCCAAAAGAGCATCTCCAAGCCTGCAGTAAGCATCAACGAGCTGTGTGTCCCGAAAGGACATGATTAATGAGTCTGTACATTTTGGTGGTTTTACATGGAGAACCAACAGGAACACCACCACTTTGGGGGTCCCGTCCCCCAAAAAACAACGAGGCACCCAGATGCCCAAAACCACGCCATGCAATGTGGGGACGATGTCAGCCCCGGCCTTTTCGCTTCTTGGCGCGGTCCAGGTACACTGCCTTTCGAACAGAAGGGACCGACCAGTTCGGAGAAACAGACATGGGGGGTCCCCTTACTTGTTATTATTCTTCTCTCTTTTTTTTTTTTGGGGGGGGGGAAATGCAAATTACATTCTCAGACGTCCCGGGGTGGGGATGGACAATGCAGGGTCACCTTAGCTCAGTACATTCGAATCGCCAGAACACAAAGAGAAAAGACTGGTGGGCCATGGGAAGTTGAAGTACGAAGCATCTTGTAGTTGCAGGGATCCTTCTTTTCAGAAAACCATCAAAAACCCGAGGGAAACAGCCGGTTTCTGAAAAGAACGATGGTTGAAAAGAATGGGGAATCAACCCCTAGAGTAGTAGCGTCTGTCCGGGCAAATGCACTTCAGCTTCTCAGCTCAGTTCCAAGCAAACTGGGAGGTACCATCTATAGAATGAGATCAGGATGCATGTTGTTAATTGTCAACGGCAACAAAACAGCATGAGGTTCTTTCGAGGGAAGTTGCTGGGAAAGGGTGTGAAACATGTAGAGTCGCACATGCAAGGTGTCTTCAATTGCCCATCAAACCCGCACAACGGCTTGGTGTCCCAAACAGAAGAACGTCACAATGAACCTCGAATCAAGAGTACCAGCCGCACAGCCATATTTATAGGAGGCCTCTCAGAGCTTTTTGTATCAGGCTTGGTGTTGCCTGACAGGCAACAAAAAAAACCGGGCCCGTTTTCAGATCTGCTGAAAGATTTTAACTTTTAGTTCAATGGAAACCACCACTAAACCCACTAAAAAGATCTAAACAGCTAAGTCAGGCACTTGCTCAAAACCCGGTATTAAAATGGTTGACCCAGAATCATGTAAGGAAATACGAAGGCGGCCGCAACTATTTATGGCTGGGATTGTCCCTTACTAACCTTCGTCTACCCAGGTTTTGATTGTGGCTCAAGCGGATGGCTGAGAAAAAAACCAAGTTCCTTCACCATTGACAGACGCGGCACTTCCCTTTTTCCCCAAACTGACCACATCTCCCCGCAGAATCCCCCCTTTTGGGGCACCAAACACTTGAAGGCTAAGTCTCTCGGCAGCCCTGTGGCCATGGCAAGGGCATCCGTTTTTGGTTGGCGGAGTTTTTTCAGGAGAGCCCCGGAACCATCCAAAGTTTTGAAAGGACAAAGGGGGCTTCCGGGATCTGCTAGGTGTTCCAGTAGAGGGGTACCGCTTCTTTTTCTGTAGTCTATTTTAGTAGGGGAACCCTCCTAACCAAAAAGAAAACTTTTTCTGTAGTCTATATTTTAGTAGGGTTCGGAACCCTCCCACCTAGCTGGGGGACCTAGACTGGTTGCGACGGAATACCTGGGATCGGGGGGGTCAAGGCACGTGTCCATCCAGCTTGCCCGCGATGATGTCCGCGGCAATCCGCGTCATGCCCCCGGGCAAACTCTTCAGGCGCTCGGTGCTGAAAGGGTTCTCAGGAACTGCCAAGGACTCCTAGCGCGCGAGCTCGGATTTTCTTAGGGGGATATTTTGTTGTTTAAATGGTTGGTTTCCTTTTGGTGTCCCTTTTGGGGATTTTTTGTGTTGTTCTAGCTGGTGGGTTTCCTTTTGGTGTCCCTTTCAAAAGCCAACCAAAAAGGGTACCCTCAAAGAAAGACACACCTAGCAGCTTCGGCGGAACCCGGCCACCCCACGCTCTGTACGTCGTCCTCAAACTCGCAGACAAACTTTTCAGCGATGGCCTTCATCGGCTGGCCAACCAGAGACATGACCTGCGAACCCTGATCTCATGGGGGCTGGGGGGGAGGGAGGGGGAGGGAGTCCAAATGAGCCCTAAATAAGGCCTTATTAAGGGCTTATTTGGGCTCCCTCCCCTCCCTCCCCCCCAGCCCCCAGGGCAACTTGACATGGAACATTGCTAGCTACGTCCGATCCACGAAACATGAGATCTCTAGAAACAATGACACGGCCACCAAAGAAAACGGGGTAAGTGATCAGCTGCATCTGAAGTGACATTTGGACATATCTCACAGAGATGTTCGCAAGTGATCTCTTGCCACAGGTGATGCGCAATCTGCGCATGGCACCAAGCAAACTCCCATCGAGCTCCTGCAGAGAATGTCAAACGGCCTGGTTCATACCAGCAAAAGCATTCGCACAGCTCTTTGAGAGGTAGCCGGTTTGCAAATATGAAAATTGCAATAACAACTGCAAGTACCGTAGCAAGTCTCTGGACAGTGCGAAACTAGTGCAACACCTTGCGCCAAACGAAGCAGTGGACGCAACTTTGCTCCTTTGTACTAGTCAGTCTGTGGAAGAGCCTTGGCACCGCGTGCAAACCGCGCAAAGAGAAACAAGAGGACATCCTTGCTGGCCACAGTGCCAGTGAGCCGCGGTTAACCGCAGAAACATATGGCGTCTGGCTTTGGGGCGTAGTGGGGGACGAGGACGAAGACATGGGCTCTCCACGCTTGCTATAAATCTCTGGATTGGGGGACTCGTCTTCCCCAGGTAAGCCTGATAGTGGGCTCATTCCTGGGACTTACCTGCAGAAAGTTCTCTCAAAGCAAGGGCAACTTTTCTCCAACGAACGCAACACGTGAATACACTCAGGTCGAAACTCGAACTGCGAGGACAACCACCATGCCAAGCGAGAAAGTGCGCCAACTCATCGGACAGCGCCAAACGTCCGACTGCACTTCATGGGCGTCTTCCGGGCTTGTTAGCGGCCAGAAAGGGGCACGCAGCCCGCGAATGTGGATCAAGCTTCGGTGACGGACGAGCCGCGATTCCAGAGATCGTCGCACTCGAATCAATCAAAGTCACCTCAGCCTGGGTCCTCCCTTAAGGTCTCCCCCACCCTCAGTCACCCAGCGGATATTCTCGCACGCTTACCCTGGGCTGTCCTCAGATCCCCCGCTAAAAGTGAATCACTTGTAGTGGGTTCAATTCGGAAATCCAGCCACTAAACCGCCCAAAAGGATCCAAGCAGCTAAGGAACCGGATGGCTGGGCTTGCCACCAAGTACCGTCGGGTCCCATCCCAGTCGCCTCCCTCTGCAGGTCGCAGCTCCTTCTGGCAAAGTCCAAGAGCCGTGGCGCAGGGGGTGGTAGGAACCGAGGCATCTTCTCATCGCCTCACGGGGCGTTTCGGGTGTTTCGGGCGGAAGGAAGGAAGGAAGGAAGGAAGGAAGGAAGGGAAGGGAAGGGAAGGGAAGGGAAGGAAAGGAAAGGAAAGGCAGGAAAGGAAGGAAACAAGGAAGGAAACAAGGAAGGAAACAAGGAAGGAAACAAGGAAGGAAACAAGGAAGGAAACAAGGAAGGAAACAAGGAAGGAAGGAAGGAAGGAAGGAAGGAAGGAAGGAAGGAAGGAAGGAAGGAAGGAAGGAAGGAAGGGGAAGGGAAGGGAAGGGAAGGGAAGGGAAGGGAAGGGAAGGGAAGGGAAGGGAAGGGAAAGGAAGGGAAAGGAAGGGAAAGGAAGGGAAAGGAAGGGGAAGGAAGGGAAAGGAAGGGAAAGGAAGGGGAAGGAAGGGAAAGGAAGGAAGGAAGGGGAAGGAAGGGGAAGGAAGGGAAAGGAAGGAAGGAAGGAAGGAAGGAAGGGGAAGGAAGGAAGGAAGGAAGGAAGGAAGAAAGGAAGGAAGGAAGGAAGGAAGGAAGGAAGGAAGGAAGGAAGCAAGCAAGCAAGCAAGCAAGCAAGCAAGGAAGGAAGGAAGGGAAGGAAGGAAGGACACAGGGCGGGAACTGTCCGCTGTGGTGCTGGAATGGAAGGCCCTCCTAATGACTAGCTCAGAAGTAACCTGGTATCACAAATGTGGGAACCAGGCCCTCATTCCCACAACCCGGGAAGTAAGAGTTTGCCTGCAGATTTCGACTAAGGTACTTGGTTCTTGAGCTAAAGACAACCCCCGCCTTGCCACCGTGAAATGGGTGAATCAAACAAGTGCCTGGCAAGTTGAAATCACAGATTGAAGAAGCTGAAAACATGTTGAGGGCAGGCAGCTTGAATCCGCCTCCCACTTGAGGGTGCAAGTGCCGACCTGACATGAACCACAACATGTAGCAGGCTGAAGCATCAGAATGGGCTTGGGGATGCTTTTCAACCCAAGTGTGGTCCTGATGAAAGCAGGCAAGGTATCCACCTGCAGAATCCTCGCTTTCGCCGGCCGGCTGGGGCCCCCAGCTGATCTCCAGCTTAGAGGTCTTATTATTGGACTGGATGGAGACCTGGCGATCTGAATTGGCCAAGAGCCGGCGATGGATGTAAAAACTACGTCAGGTAAGTGGTGATCGTAAGCCTGCTGAGATAGCCCACTGAACGGAGACGAACAAAAATGCCATGGCTTTTGTGGGGATTAACACCAGGCTTACGATCACCACATCGATCGCCCCTTCAAGTATTGGGTCCTCAAACGACAGCCACGCCTTGGGTACAGGGTCCAGCGGGGATCGAGTTTCACAAACAAAACGAAACAAGGGACTGCCATGTGGCTTCAGCTGAGCTGCAACCTTGGGTTGTACCAATAAGCAGGAACCAAACCGTGGCAACCAATTCCCAACCTTTCAAATGGGGGTGTCTCAAACTAGACGGCCCTTTTTAGATGGGCTTAAAAAGAAACCAAAAGGACACCACCTGCCTGGAGAAAATCATTCCGAATCCAATGTTGAGATGCTCTTAAAAAGAAACCAAAAGGAAACCAAAAGGAAACCTGGAGAAAGTCCGAATCCAATTCAGAGAAACAACCACATAGTGGCAGCGCAACCTTCTTCCAGGCCCTCTCTCGCTTTTTTTTCTTTCCCACCTGAGGCACCAGATCCTCGGCCGCAGCGTGGCCAGACTCTAGGGCTTTGTAGAGCTTGTTGAAGAACTTGAGCCCCCCGTCCTCGTCGTGGCCGATCCTGGCGAAAAAAACGATTTGGCCGCGGTGGTCAAAAATTGGGTAACCCCCAAACTGGCTGGAACCCTGGCAAATGGAACCAAGGACTCAAATTCCTGCGGTCCGATCCCTGGTGGCTTTCTTTTGACCCATACCCGAATCCGCGCAGACCGCGCAGACCACCGGTCGCTGCGGATTCATCCGCACAACCCACCCCGTTTTTGGTTCCGCTTTCCGTGTGGGATGTTGCCTGGGCCCAGTGGCTGCAAGGAGAGGATCGAATCTTCGGGAAAAAAAAAAAAAACAATAAAAACAAATAAAAAGAAAAAACAGATTGGAAACCAAACCAAACCAAAACAAAACCAAACCAAAACCAAAGAAACAAAAAATACAAAAATCAAGAAGAGGAAACAAAAGTGGGTATTTTTGTCAAAAGTAAACCACCAGGGGACCACAGGTTTTAGTCACTGTTTCCATTTACCAGGGTGCCATTGTTGGGTACCTGTTTTTGACCCACTGCCAAGTCGGAATCCAAACCAACCACGACATGAAAGGCCAGTGCCTTTTGCCAGTGGCCCAATAGATTCGGCAAACACACATCCCTGAAATATCGTGCGATATGCGCATTCCTCCCAATCAAACTGTGACCTGGCGTTGGTTGAAACTCTGCTTCTTTCCAGTAGTGATACAACCCTTTCAAACCAACATGGGCACATAAAGCATATATTCTTAAGCAAATGCAAGGAATGGAATGGTCTGTTGGCTATTCAGGTGCTTCCAAGATGTTGATAACCTAGAATGGCACTGTCCCGAATGGGTCCTAAATGCAGGCCCCCATGTCAGCAAACTACAGAAACAAACAACAACAAAAAAACGGTTGGGCTGATCACAAATACTTTGCCGGCGTTCGTTCTCGGTTGTCTCGCTTGCTCACAGTATCATCCTTTTTCTAGAAACCATATCTCTTTGTCTTACTTCCTGGGCGGCCCAAAAGAGTAACCAAACTTGTTGGTTGCCCTATTTACATGGTCCAATCCCAAAAAGTCACTAAAGTCCATGAACTCAGGAAATACGAGTTGCGTGGTGCTTTAGCGTAAAATCTCTCAAGTTCTACACGGCACATCCATGGACTCCATGCCACGAGATGCATCTGAGCATCTTTGGGTCTCAGATCGGCGCGCCCCAAAGCATCATTGTTTAATTGGAAATCAGGGTGCCAGGGCCCAGCCTGTTTTGCTTTCCATGTACAGAAAACCAGGAAAAACGCACAAAAAGGGCTTAGATGCGGGTCGGGGATTCAGATCGTAAGAAATCAAAAACAGAACTCTTGGTTTTGATCGGTGGAACATGAAGGTCAGCTGGCCCGTAAAAGTATGGCCATGCCCTTACGCAGGTTCGCTTGGTGTGTGCGCAAAGCGCGTGGCACAAATAGCCAGTTGCGGCCGCGGCTCAGGCAACCGTACTTGGATTCCTTGTACAGCTTCGCCTCAAGTGGCATGGGCAGGAGATCAAATCTGGGCTGCCCGTTTTCAGATGCCCTGCTAAAAGTTTTCACTTTTAGTGGGTGAAATGGAAATCCCCACTGAACCCGGCTGGAAGCCACTAAGAAATAAAGGGTTCGGTTTGTCCATTAGCCAATGAAGTCCTAGTTGTCAACATCGCTCATGCAAGTGAGGCGAACAGCAATAGAATGTTGCAACGGCTGATGAGCAAGTGGGATGGCCACGTTTGCCTTCTGCAAATGGAACAGGGCTTGCCTGCTCCGCTCACACAGAATCACCACACCAGTTTTTTAGCGCAAAAGCTGTAGCACTGGCTCAAATCTTGACAACGGGCTGGGTGGTTCAGACAGGGTCTGGAAATGGTTGGTACCCTCCCAGCAATTAACATGGAACCTGACAGGGGTTCCTTTACAAGGAACATGATCTTCCAGGACCCCCCTGTCAGGCTCCATGTTGATTGGTGGAAGGGTAAATTACGGCAGCGCATCGCAGTAACCACTGGTTTGAAGGTTGCATCAGGGTTCTCAGGAACGCCGCCATCAAAAGGCGGTTGACCAAGGGCCTGCTTGGATGCTTGAAGACCAGCGAAAATCACAAGCTCCTACCCCCAAGGATTGCAGCACAAGCACTACGATGTACGTAAAGTCTTGTGATCTGTGCCTTCCTTGTTGCCAGAGTACCCAAAACCCTGCCCTCCTCTAACTTCACGGTGTCATGCCGCGGCGCTGCTTCCCGGAATTCCGGCAAACTGCCGGTGGAGCCCAAAGCACTCATGCCCAGCACCGACCACAAAGTGCCTCGGGGAAAAAGAGTCTGTGAAGGGATCAGAAGCAAGCGAATTGCTGGTCCCACAGCTTCTGGAAAACCTGGATGGGGGACAATGAGTGGTTATACATATATATATATATACCTATACATAAATATACATATATATATATATGCCTATACACATATATATATATAAGGGCTTCAATTCGGGTTGTGAGGCGACTCGCAGATGTCTTTCAGGAAGAAAGCGCCCGGGGATTTCCCAGGAAGGCGCCGAAGGCCTTCCAAATGACCATAGGGAACGAGCGGTAGATTGAGGCTCCGAATCGCCGGGCAGACGTGGCGGTCTATACCAATCTATCCTCATGAATTTGCAGTCATGGAATATGTTAACCCCATATGAATAAACTGGTGGAACGTCGGGCGGGGGTTCCCCCCATGTTGTCGGTGGCGGGTGGCCCATGTCCTCCAAGAATAGACCCCAGATGAATAAACCCCTATTTATTAATATGGGGGTGTCCCTGGCTTTAGTAGGGAATCACTTGTGAAGGGGAACACCCCCGCATTAATAAACTGGGGTTTATTAATCCGGGGTCAACATGAATGAAGATTCGAAACTAGACTGGTGATTAATATGTTCGCTTGCATTGTCATGAGGAAGGAAGCAGCAAAGACAAACAATACATGGGATGGTCTGCAGTGCCGTTCGACTGCGTGGTGAAGCGACCCATCCTGTCCGCAACTCGGTGGATCCAAAATGCCTCCATTGCTTGTGTTTGTTCAACAGTGTGGCCTAAACAAAACAAAAGCAACACTGCGGACCAAGGCAAAGCTAACGGATGACTTCTTGCAGTCATTC